AAATTTTGACAAGAATTTGATTAAAATTTTGTAAAATAATTGAATATCAGAGAAGAATTTTATTATTTATAAATAGAATTGAAATTTTGACGAGAATTATATTAAATTTTTGAAAATAATTGAATTCTGGAGAAGAATTTTATTAAATTTTGGAAAATAATTGAATTTTGGGGAAGAATTTTATTAAATTTTTAAAAATAATTGAATTCTGGAAAAAAATTTTATTTTTTATGAAAATAATTGAATTCCTAAAAAGAAATTTATTATTTAGGAAAAAAATAGAATTCTTAGGAAGAAATTTAATATTTAGGAAAATAATTAAATTCTTGGGAAGAATTTTATTGAATTTTTGAAATAATTGAATTCTGCGGAAGAATTTTATTAAATTTTGGAATAAAATAATTGAATTTTGGGAAAAATTTTATTAAATTTTTGAAAATAATTGAATTCTAGAGAAAAGTTTTATTTTTTATGGAAATAATTGAATTCCTAAAAAGAAATTTAATATTTAGAAAAATAATTGAATTCTAGAGAAGAATTTTATTTTTTATGAAAATAATTGAATGTTTGCGTAGAATTTTATTGAAATTTTTTTTTAATAATGAAATTCTTTTCGAAATTTTTATTGAAATAGTAGATATTGAAAATCATTGAATTTTAGAAAACTTTTGAAAATAATTGAAATTTTGACAAGAATTTGATTAAAATTTTGTAAAATAATTGACTATCAGAAAAGAATTTTATTATTTATAAAGAGAATTGAAATTTTGACGAGAATTTTTAAAAATTTTTCAACACAATTGAATTTAGTAACTATGTTACTAAGTTAGTAATTGTCATTTACACTTATTTGTAGTAAAATTAAATTTCAGAGAAAAAAAAGTGCAAATGGTAAAAATGAAAAATTGTAAATTAATTTGTATACGCGAGGAAAATAATAATAAATGTATTCTTGAAAACAAAGGAAGACTGACGAATGGATTAAGTAGAAAATTTTTTATTAGAAAAACAAACATCTCTTTAATACCAGTGATTAATGATGCAATTATTATTACACCTACGGATGTGATGCGGAAAGCTCTCTCGAAATTAAAAATGCATAATTCTTGTTCTCTTATTTATTAAATCTTCGAGTCTCGCGCAGAATTCTAATTCTATATTAATATTTATTAATAGTGCGCGTATAAAAAAGTGTAATTTTTTACGTTTTTTTTTTATAGATTATAGAGTTAATAAATAATTAAAATTAGAATATATAAAAAGTTAAAATTTAGTAAAAAAAAAATTAATAAATTAAAGAATATGAAAAAGTCATACAAGTGAATTAAAATATGAAAAGAATTTATTCTTTACTAGATTTTTTTGAAATGTAAAAAATTGATGCCAAACTGACAAAATTTAAATTAGTATAAAAATTTTTACTTATTTGTATTAGTGCGACTGACTTTTTGCTTATTTGAATTAATAAAAATTACAATTTATTAGTTGTTAAAATTTTATAATTTTTGTAATTGAATTTATTCTTATGAGTACAATTCAAAAGCATAAAGTCAGTCACTAATTAGTCAAATTAGTAAATATTTTTTCTGATTCAAGTTTAGAGAGAATTTCATCAAATTTTTCTAAAAATTTGTTAAAAATATTAAAATAGGACCAAATTTTGAACAAAAATTTTGTATTTATAATTTGATGCACATTTTTGGTATCAATTTGTCGAATATTGAAACTTTCGAGTTTGAAAGACTGGATTCTAAAATTTTTTAATCCTGAATAAAAATAATGCTTCCAATTATAAATTTGATGTTCTCCATCATGTTTTTATTATTAATATGGAAGAATACACCATATCACTCGAAGAATAATGATGGCTCTGCTCTTTTGAGAAGATTTATTAACTGACTTTTATTTGAATGAGCTTCACACGACTCATGTTCACATGTTCATGATACCTTCAGAGTAAAAGTCAGAGAAGATTAACTTCTTTTGCTCAAATGTTATTATGTATGTTTGAATAAAACGATTTTTTTTACATCAAAAATATTTTTCAAAAATTTGCTAATTTTGTAAAAGTAAAAAAAAAATTTTTTCGATTTCTTGTAATTTTTTCAATTTTAATTTTTTTTTTTATTATTTTGTTACACTAAAAGCTACTTTTTCCATGTTTGAAAATTTACACTACTTTAAATTTGTTAATAGTTATTGGAATAAAAAAATTATTTTAAAAAATTTTAATAAAATTATTGGAAAAAATTCAAAAAATTTTAATGAAATTCTTTAAAGCGATTTAATTATTTTCACAAATAATTTTTAATTTCTTCGAAAACATTGAATTATTTTCCATAAATAAAAAAATTTTCTTATAGGAATTTAATTATTTGAAACCGAATTTTCCTAATATTTTTCGAAAAAAATCATTTAGGTATTTAAATAGATTTTTTATGAAATTCTTCACAAGAATTCAATTATTTTTTTAAATTTTAGTAAACTTCTTTGCAACCATTCTATTATTTTTATAAATAATAAAAATAATTGAAATTGAAATAATATTTTTAGGAATAATTACATTTTTAGAGAAATTATTGGCTCTAAAAATGATAAAAAATTTTCTTTAAAAATTTAATTTCAATTCCTCGAAAAAATCAGATTTAAAAAAAGATTTTTTAAAAATTCTATGGAAGAATTCAATTATTTAGAAAAATATCACAATTTTTCACCGGAATTCAATTATTTTCAAATATTTTAAAAAAATTGTTTGAAAGAAATCAATTATTTTAAGTACAATTTTAATTTTCATTAAATTCTTCCTAAGAATTTAATTATTTACATATAAATAATTCTACGAAAAAATTCAATTATGCCGATAATTAAAAAATGAAAAATTCAATTATTTTCGTAAATAACAATATTCATCATAAGAATTCAATTATTTTCAAAAGTAATAAATTTCTTCTTGGAAATTCAATTATTTACAAAAAATTCTAATAAAATCGTTAGCAAAAATTTAATTACATTCATAAATAATAAAATGCTTTTTAGGAATTTAATTTATTTTAAAAAGTTTCAATGAAATTTTTAACCTATAATAATTGAATTGTTTTCAATATAATTTTAATAAAATTTTTCGAAAGAATTCAATTATTTTCATAAATAATATACAATTTTCAAAGAAATTCAATTATTTAAAACACAATTTTCATAAAATTTTTTGAAAAAAATCATTTCTTTAAAAAGTTTTTTTTTCAAATTCTTCTCAAGAATGCAATATTATATTTTAAAAATTTGAATAAAATTCTACGAAAAAATTTAACTATTTAAAAAAATTTGATTTAATTTGTTTCTTAGAATGTAATAATTATTCTTAATTCATTTTTTAATATATTTCTTAAATGAATTTAATTATATTATCACAAATTTTAATGCAATTCTTCGTAAAAAAATTAAAGTTAAAAAAAAAAAATTCTTTACAATTAAGAATTCAAAGTTGAGAAATATTCCATTACATATTCAATAAATTATTTATTTTTGTATTTAAATAATTTGATACTCCTAGAACTTTCTATTAAGAATTAATTTCGAATTGAATAAAATAAAATACTTAAAGTTATAAATAATTATGAATAATTTTATTGATATAAATTTCAACAAAAAAGTGATTGAATTTTGAAAGAATTATTTTTGTAATAATTTTTAGAAATAGTTAAATATTTTAAATATTTTAATTTCTGTAGACAAAATAAATTTAGGTATATATTTAAATATTTATTTTAAAAAAATTATTCTATTTTTGAATGAAATTAAGAGATTTTCAAAAAATTGAGTCGGCAAGTTTAATTTTTCGTTAACTACTTTTTTACTACTTTTTTCTGGCTTTAAGCTACTTTTTACGACTTTTTAAAAATAATTATCGAGTACGAAGCCTGCAATTTTACAAAATGTGTTAGAAACGAGGAAAGATAAAAGTTATTTTTACTGCAGTGTCAAATATCGTTATTATATACAAGAATTAAAATTTAAAAATTTTTTAGTTAATTTAATTTTTAGTAGTAATCTTCTAATTGCTAGTAGCTTCTACTAAAAATTAGTAGTTATTTACTAAAAGTTAGTAGATTTTTTACTGAAAGTTAGTAGTCTTTTTATTGCAGTTAGTAGTCTTTTACTAAAAGTTAGTAGTATTTTTTTACTAAAAGTTAGTAGTTTTTTACTAAAGTTAGTAGTTTTTTTTTACTAAAAATTGGTAGTTTTTTTTACTAAAGTTAATATTTTTTTACTAAAAATTAGAAGTTTTTTTTTACTAAAGTTAGTAGTTTTTTTACTAAATGTTAGTAGTTTTTTTACTGAAAGTTACATAGTAGTCTTTTTACTGCAGTTAGTAGTGGTTTTTACTAAAAGTTAGTAGTATTTTTTTACTAAAAGTTAGTAGTTTTTTACTAAAGTTAGTAGTTTTTTTTTACTAAAAATTGGTAGTTTTTTTTACTAAAGTTAATATTTTTTTTACTAAAAATTAGAAGTTTTTTTTTACTAAAGTTAGTAGTTTTTTTACTAAATGTTAGTAGTTTTTTTTACTGAAAGTTACATAGTAGTCTTTTTACTGCAGTTAGTAGTGGTTTTTACTAAAAGTTAGTAGTATTTTTTTACTAAAAGTTAGTAGTTTTTTACTAAGGTTAGTAGTTTTTCTTTATTAAAAGTTAGTAGTATTATTTTTACTCAAAGTTAGTAGTTTTTTTTACTAAAGTTAATATTTTTTTTACTAAAAGTTAGTAGTTTTTTTTACTAAAGTTAGTAGTTTTTTTACTAAAAGTTAGTATTTTTTTTACTAAAAGTTAGCAGTTCTTTACTAAAAATTAGTAAAAACTGTTACTAATTCAGGTATAGTAAACGAATCATCATTCTTTCAACACTCTTTAAATTTGAATTAGAAAAATTTTTTACTATTTTGATTTCGAAAGTAATGCAACAAAAAAAAATCATTATAGTCAGGATAATAAAATAGTCTCTCTCAATTATCTTTGGAAACAAAATATATTCTTCTCTTTTTTTTATCTACAATTACACATCTTAGGAACTATTGTAAAATAAGAATTGTCTATTTTCAGTTTTCGGGTTGTGGTGGGTGGGCGGCAATGTAGGCGAGTGCTCTTTGGATTTGAGCTGGGATTTCTGGAGCTTGGGGAATGTGAGAGCCTTGGGGTTGGAATCCATTTTCGTTGGCGGTGTAGGTGACTTCGACGGGGGTTCCATCGGGGGCGGTGTAACGGTAACTTCCCTGAGCAACAATCACGGGTTCACCGTTTGGTCCAACGTTCTGGAGACTTCCGTCCTGATTGGCCTGGATTCCATTTTCCGTTTCATAATGGTAATTGTACTGTCCTTCCGGCGAGATGTCCTGCGCCTGACGAAGGATTGCGGCGTCTCGCTCCTGCTGTTGGGGGAACGCGCTGGCGGCGGCGACGAGAGCCAAGGCTACGATCTGAAATTGACAATAAACAAATAAGTAAATAAATAAATAAACAACTAAAGAAATAATTAAATAAATAAACAAAAAAGTAAACAAATAGGAAAATAAATATAAATAAATAATATATATTTAATTAATTAATAAAAGTAATGGATTTACAGAAGAATTTTATTTAAAAACACTGAAAAAATTGAATTTTGAAGATATTATTGACGAAATTCAATTATTTTCAAAAGAAATAAAATTCTTCATAGAAATTCAATTATATTAAAAAAAATTTTAAATTCTTGTCAATATTTTAATTATTTTTATAAATAATAAAATTCTTTTTCAAAATTTAATTATTTTCAAAAATTTTAATAAAATTCTAGGCAAAAATTCAATTATATTTATAAATAATGAAATTCTTCTCCAAAATTCAATTATGTTAAGAAATTTTAAAAAACTCCCGTCAAAATTTCAATTATCTTTAAAATAAAATTCTTCTTTAAAATACAATTATTTTCAAAAATTTTAATAAAATTTCTAGCAAAATTTCAATTATTTTCGAAAATTTTTTAAAATTGTCGTTAAAAGGTCAAATATTTTTATAAATAATAATATCTTCTTCAAAATTCAATAATTTTCAAAACTGGTTCAAATTGTTGACAAAATTTCAATTACCTTTAAAAATAATAAATATATTCTTCAAAATTCAATTATTTTCAAAAATTTTAATAAAATTCTTTGTAAAATTTTAATATTATTTTCAAACATTTTAATAAAATTTTTTGATAAATTTCAATTACGTTTATAAAAAATAAAATTCTTTTTTAAAATTCAATTAATTTCAAGAATTTTAATAAAATTCTTGGCAAAATTTCAATTTCTTAAAAAAAATGTTTATAATGGTCTCAAACTTTTAATTATCTTTATAAATAATAAATATTTGTTTTTCATAATTTAATTATTTTCAAAAATTTTAATAAAATTCTTTGTAAAATGCAATTATTTTCAAAAATTTTAATCAAATTCTTGGCAAAATTTTAATTCTTTTTAAAAATTTTCCTGAATTCAATGCGATTTGCAATTAATTTAATATTTTTAATAAATTTTTTCAAAAGAATTCAATTATTTAAAAAAAAATTTGATGAAATTTTACGAAAACATTTTATTATTTTCATAAAAAATAAAAATTTCACTGAAATCCAATTATTTACCATTTTTTTTTTTTATAAATTTCTTCGCAATAATTCAATTACTTTCATAAATAATAATTATTTTAAAAAATTTTTTGAAATTCTTCGTAGCAATTCAATTATTTTTATAAATTTTGAAAAAGGTCTTTATAAGAATTTAATTTTCAGAGATATTCAATTGTTCAATAAATTATTTATGCTTTTATTTAAATAATTGAATTCTGGTAGAATTTTCTATCAAAAATTGATTTAAAATTGAATTTTCAGTTAAAATTTTAGATAATATAATTGAATATTAAAAGCATATTACAAGCATGAATTTTGAGAAATAATTGAATTTTCAAACGGTTTCAAATTAATTTAATTGTAAATTTGCAATAATCCAATTATTTTCATAAATAATAATATTCTTTTTAGGAATATAATTATTTTCAAAAATAATAAAAATTAAACTGAGTTTCAATTATTTACAAATTTTTTAGAAATTTCTTTGCAATAATTCAATTATTTTCAAAAGTAATTGAATAAGAATTTCAATTATTTTTTTAGTGCAATTTTTATCAAATTCCTCAAAAAATGTAATTTCTTTTAAAAAATTTATTATAATTCGTCGAAAGAATTCAATTATTCAATAATTAAAATTCTTTATGAGAATTAAATTTTGAGGATTATTTAATTATTTATTTTTGTATTTAAATAATTGAATTCTCGTAGAATTTCAGTTAAAATTTAAGATAATTTTTAAAGCTCCTATAATTAATAAAAACTGGTTTCAAATTTACATTATAATTAAAAGGGAACTTTAAATCAAAATAAATGTAACACAAACATAATCTATAATTCATTAGCTTCATAGTTTGACGATTTTTTAACTTGAGCCCTTTTTGAAATTCATTTTTAAAATTCGTTTTTTTTCAATTTAATTAATTGAAAATTTTTTCCAATTTTTTTTCGATTTTAAATTTCTTTTTGATGAGACAAAATTGAGTCAAAATAAGATAAAATTCATTTTTGAATGAATTAAATTAAGAAAATGAATAATTATAATTATATTAATTAAATTAGAAGTAAAATATTTTATAATCAGAAAATTATTCATCTTCTAATCATGAAATATTTTCCAGTGTCGTAATTAAAAAATAGACAAAAAGAAGGTAAATTAAGAGATAAAATTGTAACTCACGAAGAATTTCATGTTGCTGAGGAGTGGATTGAATTTGTGAGAATTCAAGATGAGTTTTGAGATGTGTTTGATGTCTCCTCAGATCCGGAGACCAATTTATATATGGACCAGGAGACCCCACTTTCCCTTATGGTTCCTCTCCAAAATTGAAAAGTGAATAAGAATGAATAATATACGACGAATTCATTAAATTTTTGGGTAGGGAGAGAGTGAGAGAGTCTTCTGCCAAAATATATGTATATATTTCTCATCTTGACCTTTCAAGCTGGATACGACTAAATCGATCGGTTGTATAATCCTTGGACATCATCTTCTTCTTCTTCATACCTGGGATGTGGAATATTGGGATGAAAAAAAGATGTATATATTCAAGATTGCTTAAGTGTATATGTGGGCTCACACGTAATAGCACGTGGCAGGATCTTTTTTCTTTTTTCTTTTTTTCTGGATAATCTTTGCCCTTGCCTCATCGAAAAGAAATTCAAAATCGAAAAAAAAAATTGGAAAACGTTTTTTTCGAACTAATTTCTAAACATATTTTATCTTATACATAAAATTTATTGTAATAGAAATCGCAGTGTAAACAAGTTTTTTTTACTTAAAATTCTGAATCCTCTTTTTTTTTGTTTAATAAAAAAATTGAGAAACTGGTAAAATTCCCACTCAGGAAGTGGATTGTTTTTTTTAAATTGAATTGTTTTTATGAAAAACGGAAGAGAATATAAGGATAAAAATACACTTTTCTAAAAATAACATCTGATCAATTAAAATTTAAATAATGTTTCTTTGTTTATTTTTAATTATTTATTGTTTTACTTCTACTAAATTAATTGAACAACAACATTTATTTTCAAAAAACTGTTTACACAATTATTTTTTTTATTTATATTAAATGAGTTAAATAAAAAAATTTAAAGATAATTGAATTTCTTCGAAGAAATTATAATTATAATAAATTATTAATATTAATAATTATAATATAAATTATAATTAATTAATAATTAATTATAATTATAATATAATAATTATTATTATTATTATTATTATTATTATTATTATTATTATTATTATTATTTATTATTAATTATAATTAATTACTATTTATGAAAATAATTGAATTAATGAGAAAAAATTAATAAAAATTTTGTAAATAATTTAATTCCTGCGAAGAATTTTAGTATATTTATAAAAATAATTGAAATCCTATACAAATAATTTTAGTATTTATAAGAATAATTGAATTCCTACAAAGAATTTTACTATTTATAAAAATAATTGAATTTTTTCGAAAAATTTCATATTAAAATTGTATTGAATTTCTGTAAAGACTAATTATTTATAATAAATTAAAAATAATTGAATTCTTGCGAAGAATTTGACTATTTTTAGAAATAATGGAATTTCTGCAAAGAATTTTACTATTCATAAAAATAATTGAATTGTTTCAAAAAATTTTATTTTTCGAAATTAATTAAATTTCTGCAAAAAATTTTAATACTTATTTATAAAAATTAAAAATAATTGAATTCTTGCAAAGAAGTTTACTATTTTTAAAAATAATTGAATTCCTGCAAAGTTAACCATTTCATAGAAATAATTGAATTATTTCGAAAAATTGTATTAAAATTCAAAATTATGTAGAAAATAATTGAATTCGTCGAACGAATTTTATTAAAATTTGGTTAAATAATTTCTTTTTTTCGATAAATATTATAAAAGATTATATTAAAAATAATTGAATTCTTGCTGAGAATTTTGAATTTTATAAAAAAATTTTAAAAATAATTGTATTTCTATAGAAAATTTCATTATGTGTGAAGATAATTGAATTCGTGTGAAGAATTTTAAAACAATTATTTTTATAGAAATTGATTTTTTCGAGAAACTTTATTAAAATAGTAGAGATGGAAAATAATTTAATTTAGAAAAATTTTTGAAAATAATTGAATCGTTTTAAAGAAATTTATTAAAATGTTTATAAAACAATTCAATTCTAGTGAAAAAATTTAGTATTTGTCAAAATAATTGAATTCGTAGGACGAGTTTTATGAAAATTTGTTTAAATAATTTATTTTTTTCGAAAAATTTGATGAAAATTGTATTTTAAATAATTGAATTCTTTCTGAGAATTTTATTAAAATTTTAAAAAATAATCGAATTTTTGTAGAAAATTTTATGTCTTTGTAAAAATAATTGAATTCGCGTAAAGAATTTTTATAACAATTTTTTTAAATAATTAAGTTTTTTTGGGGAAACTTTATTAAAATAATAGATATGGAAAATAATTGAATTTTGAAAAATTTTAGAAAATAATTGAATATAGTTTTAAATATTGTTATTAAAATGTTTTAAAAAACAATATTTTAAAAAATTGAATTCCTGAGGAAGATTACAATTTTTTTAAAATAATTGAATTCATTCGAAGAATATAGAAATTAATAAAAATTTTGACAATAATTCAATTATTTTAAAAAATTAATTTAATTTTTCGAATGCAATTAATTTTACTAATACATTGTAATTATGAATTTTACTTTTAATTCTTTTAAATAATTTTATTAGAGTTTTTGTGATTATTGAAATTCTTTTGAAGATTTTTTAAAAGTTTTTTGAAAATAATAGTTTTTTTTTAATAATTTCAATTAAGAATTTTGAGAATCATTGAATTAAACAAAGAATTTTTTTTAACTTTTTGAAATAATCGTGTCTGTTAATATTTTTGATTAAAAATTTAATTACTGAATTTTTATAAAATTGTATCAGCGAAAATAATTGAACTCCTGCAAAAAATTTTACTATTTATAAAAATAATTGAATTGTTTCGATATATTTTATTTAAAAATTGCATTGAAAATAATTGAATTCCTGCAAAGAATTTTACTATTCATAAAAATAATTGAATTCTTCTGAAGAATGTTATTTACTTATTAAAATAATTGAATTGGAAATTATTCAAAAATTTGAAGATTTATATTTGAAAATAAAAAATTATTTTGTGATTTGCATGACAATAATAATTTAAAAATTAATAAATAAAATATTTATTTTTAAATATTTTAATTTTATATTCGAATTTTTTCGAATTAGAAAACTTTTTTTTATTTGAACATTTAAAAAGTTTGCAGACACTTTATAGGTTTCTGTTTAGTAAATAAAAATCGACCTAATTTTTTTTTTTTTTTTTTTTTTTTTTTTATAAAATGAATAAACAATTTTAATACAGAACAGGAATTTATAATTTATTATAAGAAAAAAAATCAACGGACAATGACCTGTAGAAAGAAAGAAAAATGAATTCAACATATACTGCAAAAAATAGACACAACTCTAATTTTTGTGTCATTTCATAATATTTAGTTTTATATAATTCGAGTCTATTTTTTACGTCTACTTTTCATGAAGTACATAAAGCAGCTGACCGAATGAATAAATTTGTTTTAATCGAATCCAGTTTCTGTGACCTTCATCACTTTACTCATCCTTCTTTTTTTATTTTAATGATGGTTCTCTCGAGTCCTTTTCACAAAGATTGTGGATTATTGTATCAAAAAGGATGACATTCTCGAAATTTTGCAAAGGTTATCTTTCAGAAAGTTTGCGCGTATATAAAGATGAGTATTCCCAAAATTATAGCACAGTTGGTAAGAAACTTTATTCACCTCATCAACATGAAATTTTTTGTAAGTTTTCTCTTGTAAAAGTGTGTTCAATATATATTCAATTTAAATCTGCGAAATATAAGTAGAAAGATACTAGAAACAAATAGTAAAATTTCACTATAATTGTTGGTGATTTTCATGAAGGACTTTTAAACCCTTTTTTTTATTTATAGTAAAATGCAGACCGCACGGATTTCTCGGATTCAATTATTTAATCATTATTATTTTTTCATAGGAAATAAAATTTTGCAAAAGATTCAAATTCAAACTTTTTTGAAATTTAATAACTTTTAAGAATATTTATTATAAAACATGAAGAAATCGATCACTCCGAGTCTTCGACTCGGAGTGTTCGAATTCTTCAAATTACAAAATTTTGGTTTAAAAAATTATTCGGTCATTAAAAATGACCGAGTAATAAAATCGTTATTTTAAAATATAATAATATTTTTACTGTAACTTCTTTAAATTATTTCTTTCATTTAAATTCAATTATTATTTTCCAGAATTTTTAACTAAAACTCTTCTTTGAATCAATTATTTTTTTAAATTATTTTTAAAACAGATGAATGAGAATTTCCACATCCATTTTTTTCAATTCAATTTAATGAAATTTCAATTATTTAAATACAAAAAAAATAATTTATTGAATAATTGAATGTCTTTTAAAATTGAATTCTCATGAAGAATTTGATTAAAAAGTTTTTAAATAATTCAATTATTTAGACAAATTTTAATAAAATTTTCAAGAATAATTAAATTTCGAAGAAATTATTATTTATAAAAATAATTGAATTGTGAAGAATTTTAAAAAAAATTTTAAAATTAATTAATTCCCCAGAAAAATTTTATTATTTATAAAAATAATTGAATTCTTGCAAAAAATTTTATAACAATGTTTTTAAATATAATTGATTCAAATATTTATGAAAATTATGTTTAAAATAATTGAATCCTTGTGAAAATTTTATTATTTATAAAAATAATTGAATTCTTGCGAATAATTTTATTAAAAAATATTAAAAATAACTGAGTTTCGAAGAAGAGTTTTATTATTTTTAAAGCTAATTCAAATTTTGACGAAGGTTTTTTTTAATTTATAAACATAACTGAATTTCTACGAAGAATTTTATTTAAATTTTTTAAAATAATTGAAATTTTGACAAGAATTTTATTAAAAATTTTGAAAATAATTGAATTTTTTCGAAGAAATTATTATTTCTGAAAATAATTGAATTATTGTGAAGAATTTAAAAAAAGAAATTGAAAATTAATGAATTTCCCGGAAAAATTTTATTATTTATAAAAATAATTGAATTCTTGCGAAAAATTTTATAACAATGTTTCTAAATAATTGATTCAAATATTTATGAAAATTATGTTTTAAATAATTGAATTTCTGTAACAATTTTATTATTTGTAGAAATAATTGAATTCTTGCGAAGAATTTTATCAAAAAATTTGAAAATAATTGAATTTTGAAGAAGAATTTTATTACTTTTAAAAATAATTGAAATTTTGCCGAAGATTTTATTAAATTTATGAACTTAATTGAATTTCTATGAAGAATTTTATTATTTATGAAGATAATTGAAATTTTGCAAAGAATTTTATTTAAATTTTTGAAAATAATTGAAATTTCGACAAGAATTTTGTCAAAATTTTTGAAAATAATTGAATTTTTGTGAAGAATTTCATTAAAAATTTCCTTTAAATAATTGAATTCTTTTGGAGAATTTATTAAGTTACTATAATTATTGAAAATCATTAATCATTAAATAATTAAAATTTTGCCCAGAATTTTATTGAATAATTGAATTTTTCTCAAAATTGAATTTTCATAAAGAATTTTATCAGAAAATTTTTAAATAATTGAATTCTTTCTATAAATTTTAATAAAATTTTTTAGGACAATTACATTTTTCGAGGAATACGATTAAAATTGTATTAAAAATAATTGAATTTCTTCGTTGAGTTTTATTATTTATGAAAATAATTGAATCGCTGTAAAAAATGTATTTTCGTGTTTAAAGCTAAAATTCTTCTAAATCCATTATTTTTTAATAATTAATTTGTTATTATATTTAAAAATTCGCAGCTAATTTCAAAAGAATTTAAATCATTAAAATTTTTCAACAATCTAAGTTTTTTAAAATTTTTAATTAATTTCATTTAAAATTTAAAATCTTTATAAAATTTCAAATTTAAACCTTTTGAAGGTTTTAAATTAAGTTATTTAAAAAGAAATTATTGTCAAAAATAGAAAAATTGAAGGTTTTGTATTAGAATTACTCATCATTTTTATACTTTGTAAAGGGTTTATCGCCCGTTTATACATCTAAATAAATAAATAAATAAATAAATAGAATTCGTGGTAAAATTTACAAATTTTATTAGTAAAATTAATCTTATTTATTAGTAAAATTATCGTTAGTTAAATTATTATTTTTTATTAGTAAAAATTACTCTTTATTAGTAAAAATAAGCAAAATTTTAGTAATAAGTAGTAATTTTTAGTAATTTAAAAACAAAAAACTCATTCACTACTTCAAATTATTATAAACATTTTTTTACCAATTCAAATTTAGAGAGTATTTATATAAAACATCGTAATTATGATAAATAATTATATTCTTATAAAAAAATATTAAAAGCATTTTTTATTTCTGTAATATGTCTTTAAAAAAAAAATTTAATCAATTTTACATCATATTATCGATTATCATCTTTATAATATTTTTTTTTTTTTTATTACGAAATCAATTTAAAGAGAGGTAATTTTGTTCCTCGATATGTGATATGTGACAGTATCAAAAGATCGATGTATAATTTGCACATAATGCACCCGAGATGAACAATAATTATGTCAATCGACGTGTAATGGGTGTGCCATCTTATCGATGAGCATTTTATTAGAAAAAAATCTATTTTTTCAACAAAAAAAACATCTATTATTATCACAATTTTCCAATCCATCAATTTTTTTCTAAAAAAATATTTTCTATTTTTTCATTTTATTATTTTTTATTTTTTATTCTCGTTTAACAAAACTTTTCTATTTCTCTATTTTTTGTAATTTTTCGTATATTTTCAAAATTAAGATTTCTGTTCTAAAATTTTTGTACTATTTTTGAATTATATTTCGTAATAAAAAAAATTCTTTTGGAAAATTTATTAAAATAGTAATTATTGAAAATCATTGAATTGAAGAAAATTTTGCCAAGAATTTTAATAAAGAATTTTCTATTTCTCTCTTTTTTTTGTAATTTTTCGTATATTTTCAAAATTAACATTTTTGTCCTTAAATTTTTGTACTATTTTTGAATTATATTTCGTAATAAAAAAAATTCTTTTGGAAAATTTATTAAAATAGTAATTATTGAAAATCATTGAATTGAAGAAAATTTTGCCAAGAATTTTAATAAAGAATTTTCTATTTCTCTCTTTTTTTTGTAATTTTTCGTATATTTTCAAAATTAACATTTTTGTCCTTAAATTTTTGTACTATTTTTGAATTATATTTCGTAATAAAAAAAATTCTTTTGGAAAATTTATTAAAATAGTAATTATTGAAAATCATTGAATAAAAGAAAATTTTGCCAAGAATTTTAATAAAGAATTTTCTATTTTTCTCTTTTTTTTGTAATTTTTCGTATATTTTCAAAATTAACATTTTTATCCTTAAATTTTTGTACTATTTTTGAATTATATTTCGTAATAAAAAAAAAAATTCTGTTGGAAAATTTATTAAAATAGTAATTATTGAAAATCATTGAATTGAAGACAATTTTTCCAAGAATTCTAATAAAGAATTTTCTATTTCTCTCTTTTTTTTTGTAATTTTTCGTATATTTTCAAAATTAACATTTCTGTCCTAAAATTTTTGTACTATTTTTGTATTATATTTCGTAGCAAAAAAAATTCTTTTGGAAAATTTATTAAAATAGTAATTATTGAAAACCATTGAATTGCGAAGAAAATTTTTGCCAAAAATTTTAATAAAGAATTTTATCAAAAAAATTTTTATATAATTTAATTCTTTCGACGAATTTTGAATAATAAATAATCGAATATCGGAGAAGAATTTATTTATTATTTTTGGATAAAGAATGGATTTTTGATTAAAATGAAAAATCATTTTGTGTTTACAGTATACTAAAAGGAATCAAGATATGAATATTTGCCATCGTTTATATAAGAAAGTTCTATAATTAGCCAGTAATAACAATCAGTTTATTATATATTTTTAAAGTCCTGTGGGTGGGCAAAAACAATTAAACTGCAAAAAGTTGAGTTGTTTTACACTTTATGCAAATAAAATGAGATGACCAAGTTTGAGTACACGTTAAAGCCGGTTTTGAGAATAACAATTTTCATCACCCTTGGAGTAAGATTATTATATAGGAATATAACTATCTTTCGAAATTTTGTTCGTCCTCGACAATTTTTTTTTTTTTATTTATTTATTTTTTACTTTTTTTTTGAAAAATTTTTATTTTTATAATGAAGAGTGTCGGCGAATGTACAAGAAGTGTACATAATATGAGACGATAATAATAATCTGCTGCAAAAGTATATGCGATCCTCTTAATTATCATAAGATCAGAATCGCGTGAGACTTCTTTGTTAATTCAAGATCATCATAATATTCAACACACGAAACACCGAGAATCTACGGAAATATCAATTTCAAGAATAGTCAATTTTTTTCTTAAATATTGTGTTTCTTTCGTATATATACATTTTCTATAATTATATATATTTTTTTTCCATTCATGTACATGGGTGATTTTTCTGAAAGTGCTACTTTTGAACTTGGATTTTTTTACTTTTTTTTACTTTTTTTTACTTTTTTTTACTTTTACTGATTTTGTATGGTTTTTATTGAAAATATTTAATAGTTTAATTTTTAATTTAAAAAAATTTTTTTATTTATTTTTTATTTATTTAACTACTTTATTTCATACTCAAGAATAAGAATTTAATTTGCGCAAAATTAATTGTTAAAAATAAAAATAATATTTTCTTCTTCGAAAAAGATTTATTTTGTTGAGCTATTTTTTTATTATTTTATTTAATTCGCGTGTTTTTTTTCTACATAAAAAATACACAAGTCTAAAAATTCACACTTCTAACGCTTCTAACATTTAATTTTATTATTTAAAAATTTTAAATTTTAACTGAAATTCAATTTTTTAAAATCAATTCTTATTAGAAAGTTCACCGAGAATTCAATTATTTAAACAGAAAAATAAATAACTTAATGAATAATAATTGAAAAATTTTCGAAATTAAATTCTTATAAAGAACCTTATCGAAATTTTTGAAAATAATTGAATTCACTCGAAGAATTTTAATAAAATTTTTCAGAATAATTGCATTTTTCGAAAAATGCATTTAAAATTGTATTAAAAATAATTAAAACCCTACAGTGAAAATGTATTATTTAAAAAATTCAATTCCTGCTGAGAATTTTATTAAAATTTTCAAAAGTAATTGAATTTCTGTAGAAAATGTTATTAGTTGTGAAAATATTAATTGAATTCGTGTGAAAAAATTAACTATTTATAAAAATAATTGAATTGTTTCGAAGAATTTACGGAAATTATAGTAAATAATTGAATTTCGAAAAATGTTTGAAAATAATTGAATCGATTTAAAAAATTTTATTAAAATGTTTAAAAACGCAATTTAATTCTAGTGAAGAAATTTTATTATTTGTCGAAATAATTGAATTCATGGAACGAATTTTATTACAATTTGTTTTAATAATTTATTTTTTTCAAAAAAAAATGTTATGAAAAATTTATAAAAATAATTGAATTCTTTCTGAGAATTTTATTCAAATTTTTAAGAATAACTGTATTTCTATATGAAATTTTATTATTTGTGAAAATAATTGAATTCGTGTGAGGAAGTTTTTCACAATTTCTTTTAAGTAAATTGAGGTTTTTTGGGAAATTTTATTAAAATAGATAGTAGATATAGAAAATAATTGAATTTTGAAAAAGTTTTGAAAATAATTGAATCGTTTTAAAAAAGTTTAGTAAAATATTTTAAACAAAATTCAATTCTAGTGAAAAAAATTTAGTATTTGTCAAAATAATTAAATTCGTAGGACGAATTTTAGTAAAATTTGTTTAAATAATTTATTTTTTTCGAAAAATTTGATGAAAATTGTATTTTAAATAATTGAATTCTTGCTGAGAATTTTAATAAAATTTGTAAAAATAACTACATTTTTGTAGAAAATTTTACGTATTTTCGAAAAAATATAAAATTTGTGTGAAGAATTTTATAACAATTTTTTGAAAATAATTTAATTTTTTGGGAGACTTTATTAGAACAGTAGATACAGAAAATAATTAAATTTCAAAAAAATTTTGAAAAAATAATTGAATAGTTTTAAAGAATATTATTAAAAATGTTTTTAAAAAATTCATTTCTAGTAGGAAAATTTTATAATTTTTTTAAATAATTGAATTTGTGAAACGAATTTTATTAAAATTTGTTTAAATAATTGATTTTTTTGAAAAAAAATGATGAAAATTGTATTCTAAATAATTGAATTCCTGTGAAAATATTATTTATATGAAAATAATTGATTGTTTGCGAAGGATTCTATAATTTTTTTAAATAATTGAATTTTTTGGTAAAGTTTCTTTAAATAGTAGTTATTGAAAATAATTGAATTTCGAAATTTAAAAAAAAATAATTAAATCATTTAAAAGAATTTTTAAAAATAATTCAATTCCAGCGGAAAATTTTTACTATTTCCTAAAATAATTGAATTTATGAGACAAATTTTATTTAAGATTTGTTTAAATAATTAATTTTTTCGAAAAATATGCTAAAAATTGTATTTTAAATTTTAATGAGTCAAAAATTGAATTTTATTACATTTTCATTTTTTTAAAATTTTATTAAAAGTGTAGATAGGTATATTGTAAATAATTGAATGTCGAAAATTTTTTTGAAAGATTTGAATCATTTTAAAGAATTTTATTTAAATTTCTAAAAATAATTAAATTCCAGTGAAAAAATTTTATTATTTGATTAAAATAATTGAATTTGTTCGACGAATTTTTTTGAAAATTTATTTAAAAACTTAAGAAAAATCGTTTTTTAAGTAATTGAATTCCTTTGAAAATTTTGTTATTTATAAAAATAGGTAAATGTTGGCAAAGAATTCTATTAATTTTTTTTTCAATAATTGAATCGTTTTAAAGAATTTTATTAAAATTTATAAAAATAATTGAATTTGTGAGATGAATTTTTTTTAAATAATTGAATTTCAAAAAATTTTAGAAAATATTTGAATAGTTTTAAATAATTTTATTTAAAAATTTATAAAAACAATTCAATTCCAGTGGAGAAATTGGAATATATCTTAAAATAATTGAATTCGTTGGACGAATTTTATTAAAATTTTTCTTAAATAATATTGATTTTTTCGTAAAATTTGAAGAAAATTGTAGGTATTTAAAATTTTGTCAAGTCAAATTTTGAATAATTGAATGTCATAAATCTTTTGACAAAATTAAATCATTTTAAAGAATTTTATTGCAATTTATAAAAATAATTGAATTTCGGTGGAAAAATTACATTATTTAATTAAAATAATTGAATTTGTGCGACGAATTTTATTAAAATTTTGTTTTTAAAAATTGATGAAAATTGTTTTTTAAATAATTGAATTTCTATGAAAGTATTATTATTCATAAAAAAAAATTAGGTAAATATAGTGGCGAAGAATTCTGTCAATTTTTTTTTTCAATAACTGAATTCTTCTGTGGAAATTTTATTAGAATTTTATTAAAAAATTGAATTCTCGTGAAAAATTTTATTATTTGGGTACAAAATAATTGAATTCTTGTAAAGAATTTTATTAAAATTAGAAAAAAAATAATTGAATTCCTGAAAAACATTTTATTTATATTTATGAAAATAATTGAATTCTTGAGATGAGTTTTGTCCAATTTTTTTTTAATAATTGAATTTTTGAGAGAAATTTTATAAAAATTGTTTGAAATAATTGATTATTTTCCAAATAATTTTACGAAAATTGTATTTTAAATAATTTAATTCACTGTGAAAATTTTATTATTAACGAAAATATGTAAATGTTTGTGAAGAATTTTTTCTTAATTCTCTTCAATATAATTAAATTCTTTTGTGGAATTTTATTGGAATAGTACCTAGATATTAAAAATTATTAATTTTTGAAAATTTTTTGAAAATAATTGAATCGTTTCAAAAGAAATATGAGAATTACGCACGAGACCTGAAAAACTCATTGGGTCGATAGAAAGAGTTAAACTATACGTAACGTCCCCTCTTCTTCTTTCTCTCTCTAGCAACGCATGCGCGACCGTTCCTAAAAGCAACTGCGCATGCGCCACTATTTTCTACCAATGAGAGAGGGTCAGTGGCGCAAGCGCAGTTGCTTCTCGTGACTGTCGCGCATGCGCTAGAAGACAAAGACAACAGAGGGGGGGGGGCGTTAGGAAAAAATGTCGTAGACAGGGGGAAAAAAGAGAGAACTCTTAGATTTAATTTTTACAAACTCGGATATTTAAACTAATGATTGAAATATATTATCATTTTTTTTTCAATTCCTTTTCAGATTGTCTCAATGGCCATTGTGGCAGTGGTGGCGGCCGATGTCTCTCACTTGAATCTCAGTCCGTTAGTTAAAATTTTAAGACAGTCGTCGGACGTTGCACCGGATGGTTCATACAATTATCATTACGAGACGGAAAATGGAATTTTCGCCGAAGAATCTGGACAGCCGGGGGCAGTTGGACCCGAGGGACCGGCAGTTGTCGTGAAGGGAAGCTACAGATACCTCGGCGATGATGGTGTTACCTATGAGGTTCATTATCAGGCCGATGAAAATGGCTTCCATCCAGAGGGCGCACACATTCCGGCAGTTCCCGCCGCTATTCAACGATCATTGCAATTCAACGAGGCCCATCCGGAAGTTCGAATTCCTAAAGAAAATTTTAAACCGACTACGGCAAAATCCGCTCCTTTTCGGTTTTGAAGTGATATCTAATTTTTAATGAACTCTTTATCTTCTCTACATACTTTCCTCTGCTCAATAAAAAATAGTTTAGCAAAAAAAAAAATTGAAAAGTTAGTTTTATTTCAAAATCGTACAAAAGAACCGTTTTTTTTTTATTTTTACATTAAATTATTCGAAACTTTAATAATTTGTGTTAAACAAATATTTAGAAACTTATTGTTATTTATTTTAATTAAAATTTCAAATAATTTCAATCTAAAACCTTTTGAAATTTAATTTTTTCTAAAAATGCAATTCTTTAACTGCAATTTTTTCAAAAGTAAATTATTTTTTTAAATGTTTAAATAAAATAAAATTAATTTTAATAAATTAACAAATAAAATTAATAATTTTAAAGAAAATAATAAATTAATAATAATTTCAATACAGAATTTAAAAATTATTACAGTTTTTTCAACAATTGAAATTTTTAAAAATCTTCATCTAAAAATCTTTTGAAATTCAATTATTTCTAAAATTCATATTGTAATGTTTCTAATGTTCAATTATTATCTAAAATTTACAATGAAATTTAATTTTTTCAAATAAATTTCAAAATTAAATCAAATTTTATTAGAAATTGAACGAGAATTTTTTTTTTAAATCGAATTCTTACAAAGAATTTTTTAAAAGTTTTTGAAAATAAATAATTTAAAGAAAAATTTTTTGTGAAATTTTATTGAAATAATAAATAGGGAAAATAATTGAATGTCGAAAAATTTTAGAAAATAATTGAATCCTTGTAAGAATTTTAAAATGTTTAAAAATAATTTAATTCCAATAAATAAATTTTTATTATTTATTAAAATAATTGAATTCGATGGACAAATTTTATTAAAATTATTGTTTAAATAATTGATTTTTTCGAAAAATGTTATGAAAATTGTATTTTAAATAATTGAATTATCTGTGAAAATATTAATTATTTATATGGAAAATAATTGAATGCTTGCGAATAATTCTATATATTTTTTTAAATTTAATTTTTTTGGGAAATTTTATTAAATTAGTAAATATAGTAAATCATTGAATTTCGAAAAAATTTTGAAAATAATTGAATCGGTTTAAAAAATTTTATTAAAATGTTCAAAAATAATAATAATTTTTGATTGTTATTAATATATTATATTGTAATTAGATGATCAGACGACCTTTAGACGTAATATTTTATTAACGTTTGTAATGCCCCAATATTTAAATTATACGATCAGTTCCGGTTTAAAAATAGAAGGAAAAATATTATTGATAGACCATATATTTTTGAAATGTGTGAATGAATTTAAATATAATTAGTAAATAAAGGAAAAATCTGAAGCAAACAATTTTTATACGCTATTTTTGGCTATTTAAAGAGAATAATGTTAATTTTTTTTCCCCAATTTAATGAAGATGTTAAAAGTTTTTTTTTTATTGTTCTTAATTAAAACATTCTTGAACTTTACGAAGAAAAAAAATTCAATAACAACTTAATTATGATTTATTACTTAATTTTATAGACATTCAGTTTAAAAATAATTAATTAAAATTCCTTTTTCGTTTTATTTTTTTATAAATTCTAATTTAATAATAAAAAAAAAGTTTCTACGCCATTTCTAATGAAATTTTGATCTTTTTCCCTAATTTTTTGTGACTAATTTTTATACGATATTAAAATAAAATATAAGAAAATAAATTAAAAATTAAATTAAAAATAATATAAAAAATAATTTTTTAACTTTTTATAATTTTATGCAATAAAATTTATATATATTGTAAATTTTTACTTATATAAATTTTTTAGGCGAAAAAATTTGTATTATTGTAATTTTTTATTTAAATATAAATTTTTTAGGCTAAAAAAGACATTGCATTGTAACACATTTTTAATTTTTAATTACATAATTGATATATGCATGTATAAATATTTCTTAAACTTTTATGCGCTATTGCTTCATAAAAAGTTCTTTCAAAATGTTTGGGTGCGAATTTAATTTCAAATATATACCTAATTTAAAATTCTTTTCATTACTTCTAAACGAGAAAATTGAGAGGAAATCCTTTTTTTGGTTTTTTTAAATATTCAAAATTTCATCACATTTGCAGACACTGAATAAAATTTTATAGTCTGGAAACAAAAAAAAACGAAAAAAGAAAAAAACGACGATTGAAACATTAAAACTCTTTGAATATTACGCAATACGAGAATTAATTGGATTTGTAATAGACAAATTCAAATTCAAATAATTTTTATTGCACACTTTATAATATTCGTTTTTATTTAAAAAAATTTATATTATCAATATTTTTTTAAACAAATTTTTATGTAATCTTTTTACTATTCTTAGAGTGCCTTAGACTGTTGATATTTACAGTGAAAATTATTTATAAATTATTTTATTCTATTAAATTTTTTTTTAAATTAAATAAGTTAATATTTTTTATTTAATAGCTTTTTAAATTAAATAAGTAAATTTATTTTATTTATTAGTTCTTTAAAGTAGTTAAGTTAATTAATTTTATTTAACAATTTTTTAAATCAAGCAATTTTATTTTTTGTATTCAATACTTTCTTCAAATAAATAATTTATTTTATTTAAATTATTTTTTATATTATACTATTACCTTTAGTGTTGATATTAATAAAAGTGAAAATTATATTTAGAGTTTGTAAAGAGCTTTAAATTTTAGAAAGTTTTTCATTGAGAAAGGTACAATTTTTGAAAGTAAGTTTCTTCAATAAAAAAATCTATAGATTATGGAATTGTAAATTAACATTTACTTTGGTATTGAAATTTTTAATCTTAAAGTTGAAATCTGTTAATCTTATTTCATTTCATAAAAAATCATTCAAATTGAAAAAGAAAATATTTTGAATGAAAGCATTTTCTTGACAAAAGAGTTTTTTTTCCTTTTACTTGAGGGCGGAAGAGAAACGATTCCCTTCCCCCCTCCCCTTTAGAGTTTCGAACGTTTAAATAAACAAAATATTTTTTTTCGTTCCAATATTTTTCTAAATTATTAAACTAAAATAAAAAATTCTAATTGAATTTTTTTTTTAGTTAAAAATTAATTATTATTATAGAAAACAATTTTGGTGTTTTTATTTAGAAAAAATTTTTAAAAATATTTTTAATAAAATTCCAATTAAAAGAAATAGTAAACATTGAGAAATTAATTATTTATTAAGGATTTTAATTAATTAATGAAATAAATTAATTACTAATTTATTTATTGATTATTTAATTATTTATTGCTTATAATAATTTAGTAATTTAATAATTTTTTTATCCATATTTTTGTCTCTCCTTTTTTCATAGTTTTAATTTATTTTTTAATTTACATATTTAATTTATAGATTGGAGATTATTAATTAGTTCATTAATTATTTTGAAGTATTAATTTGTCAATTATTATTAAGAAATTAATAATGAATTAATTATTACCTATTAATTAATATTATTATTTATTATTACTCAATAATTTATAAATTTAATTTAGTTTATCAACTGAAGATTAATTATTAATTTAATTAATAAACGTCGTTGATTTCAACGATTAAAACTTTAAAAACCTTTTTCTTTACTGTAATAACTCATTTTCTTAGAGTAAATATTCCTTTAAGTATACACTTAATAAATGATTACTTTCCTATATATTGTTTCTCAAATTGGAATCAATTTTATACGTTATATGGCAATGCAATTTATAAAGAATCTTTTCATGCGCGGGTTGCGTTAGATATAATCAGCATAAAGACAACTTAATGATCCATCAGAATCGCAATGTCAAAATCAACACTGCATAATTTTCAGATTCTCTCTAAAAAAAAGCCACTTTTATACTCGATTTCATGTATATTTATGTATAAAATTCATTCCAAAAATACGGTCAAGGAAAAGAAATTTCCTGCAAAAAAAAAATAAAATTTATATCGTAGGATTTAAAAATAAAAAAAAAGTTCTAACTTATAATAAATGAATTTAATAACTTACTTTTCAATAATGATTTTACGAGAAAAATATTTCTGTTAAATTAAACGAGTGAATTTTTTTCTTAAAGAAAGTCACGAAGAGTGACGTTAAATCTTCTCTTTGAGAGGAGAGGATTACAGTGATTTTATCAGCATAATAATATAGAAGAGAAATGTTCGGAAGGCGGTCTAGAAATGTATATATTATATAGTAATATAATAGTTTACATTATATATGTATTTATATAGATATACGAGGACGCGAATCTAAAACTGTATCTATTATATATGGCAGAGAATATTTCATATATCGCGTGATATGGCATCACATTAAAATTAATGCAATGAAGAAATATTTTAAACCTCATCAATAATATTTGTAAATTTGCTTAATATTATTAGCAATTCTTAATTATACTCATCCCTTGCATAATCCTTTTTTTTCTATATACAGATTATTGATAAATAGAAATATACAAAAATTTTTGACGATAATAACTTTTGACAGTACTTTTCCGATCATAATTATTTATTGGTTTTGTATTTTATGAAAATATCAAGTTGGAACTCGGGGTAATTAAATAAGATGTTGGTTTAATTATAGAAAAAACGGTAATAAGTAACAGAAATTAAATAATCACTAGTTCTGTTTTTCTGAATTTGTAGAAAAAACTGCTAATTGACAGTAAAATCGTGAACGAGTCTTGGCTCTATTTTAATTGGTCAAAAATAACTGCACGGAATATAAATAACTCTTTGTTCTTTTATGATTAGGAAATAGTTTTGTTAATTTTCGTCAGACCGATATCGCGGTTTCTATACGGATTGTTTTTGATACCGCAAACAAAAAGAAATTCGAAATTACTCAAATTACATTGAAGGTAAGGTTAGGTTTACTAAACTGTACTAAACCACCAGGAGCGCTATTGTCGTTTTCCCGGATGTCAATTTCTTACCAAAACATCCTCTCCGTCTGTGTAATTTGTAGAAAACAACTAATTCAGTAATAAAATTTGACTAATTATTTATAAAAAATTACCAATATTTGCTAGGAATAAATCTACGAATATTTTCGTCATTTAACATAACCTAAAAATTACATTAACTAATATTAGTCATTTTTGTTCGCACTTTTGAGTACCTTTTTTTCATTTAATAAACGAATCGAAGTTGTTGAATTAGTCAAATTTGCGACTATTCACATAAATTCAGTATAAACAAGAAAGTTTTGTTTTTAGTTTAATTCAAAAATAAAATTGAGTTATTGAGTGAAATTTTGGTAAACACCGTAAATGCTTGTGTGAATAACGGGTTGCCTATGTACAGGCTCTCATATCAGAATTCGCCATTATAAACATAAATCATTAAAATATTTCTTGTTATTTTAATAGTAATATTCTTATTCCATTCAAAGTTTACTCTTCATTCAAAGTAATTAAATCTCAGCGAAATTTCCAAAATTTCTACAAATTAAAATAATTATAATTTGAACAAATTTTTAAAAGTTGGCGCCAAGAGTTCACTTCGTAAAATTCAAGGCGCGAAAATTAACGATATTTTTCACTTTCACGTTCCTAATAACACGATTTTTAACATTTGTCACCTAATAATATGTAAATTAACATCAAAATTTTGGAAAAATATTATCAAAAAATAGAGAAAAACAACAGTTGATGTAATTGAATATTTTCTTTGTTTCGAAATTGTGTACAACTACTGTCGATAAAGTAGAAAACGTCATGTGAAGCAAAAAAACTCACAAGTTTACCTTCTCTATTACTAATTTAATCGTAGACATTGAATGGCCGTGAATGGCCGCCAGTTCGTGCACCCTTTTATTTTTCCATAAAAATAAGTTTTACTTCGTTCATCGGTTTGTGTTCGAGGTGTAAACTAACTGATTTTATTTGGTGAGTCATCGCAGCTATTCATCTTCTTTCAATTTATAAAGCATCATCATGACAGTTTGATCGTCATTCATATGTTTCTTTTGGAAACGTGATCTTCAACTTACCGCCGGTGACTTATTTTCTCTCCAATACGAAACTTTACAACACACCATATTCCGATTTCATCTTGCTGAGAAATAAGTCGGTTTTTTACATTAATTTTTCATTGCACGCTTTATTTATACTCTAATAATTAGTTGAATGGAATTTATTATGCTTTCAAGTCATTATCAATATTGTAAGAATGTGTCAGTAAAGTGAGATGGAGAACATTGAAGCACATGAGTGTGGTGTGAGCATCTGTCTCATAACTGGCTGGCATTAAAGAGACCCTAATGGTTTAATACCTGAGATTATGGCACACTTTCTTTTGTTTGTTGAACAATTTTTCTTGATTTTTCATTACTGAATTTTTCTTTATGTGGAGCGGAAAATATTTTTTTAACACCCGAGAAACTTTAATGGAAACGAAAAGTGTCATCCGTGGCTTGACAATTTTCTGTTAGTGACGTTTTCAGCCCTCCTACTTCATGAATCTTAGCCTATTTAATTTTAGAAACCAATTACAATTCAAGATTCAATTCACGAGGCACCGAGATGTGCGTCAATTTTTTTAAAATAATTTTTCATTTTCGGATATTTAGTTTGCATTATTTGTTCTTTTTTTCGAAAACACAATAGTAATGCAGTGTTTGCTGTAATTTCCCTGTGAGGCACTCGGCGCAATCTAGTGAAATACTTTTTATTTATTTTTCCCCATTTTATTGTTTTATTTTATTTCTTTCTAAACAAACTTTCATTGATTATCGATTTTCAAAACGGGAACTTTGTTTTTTTGTATTTTAAAAATCAACAATATTCATAAAATTGAAAAAATAATTATTAGACTTGGAAATCAAAAATTAATTTATATTTTAATAAAAATTAATTTATGTTATCTATTTAATAAATAGATTTTAATTTTAATTATATTGAATAAATATTTAAATTAATATCTGTAAATCTAGTTATTTTGATTTTTATTGAATTAAAAAAACACTATTTTGATTTAAATACTAAAAAATAAATTTAATTCTTAAAATAGAATAAAATTTAGGAATTTCACTTTTTCTTGACAGACAGAAGAGTGATATCAATGAAATAGGATATTTTCGGAAGTTGATCTTTATTCTCTGATCTCTTGTTTCGTGGTTAAATAAATGATATACTCGGCACTTGATTCACTTGATAACCTACGACTCTGAAAAATGTCTAATGTATTATTACAAAACACGAAGTGGTAGATAATTATTACTCGTTAGGAAGATAAAAATATTTAAATAGTTCGGTGAACTCTAATACACTTATGAAATTTTCCCAGATATTATGTCGCTTATAATCATTAGCCTGAAGAATTATTACTTTTTATAATGACTTTTGTATTATCGAAAACTTTACTTTTGTCAGACTGTAACAGTATTTTATTTGTTTATTTATTTGTGACGCGCTCCGAAGAAAGGTACCTAAGAAGCAAAGAATTTTAAAGGTAATGTTTTTGCTATTTTTCCCTTAATTAAATTAAATTTATGTGTTTAATTTAAAACCGAAATCAGTTTTTAGCGAATATTTTGGATCTAATGAAGATTTAAGCAGTGTTTCATGGTAGAAACCTGAGTCTCTTCATATTTTCATTTCTGAATTTGAGAACATAACCTCAAATTTTTTGCTTCTTTGGTACTTTTTTTTGGAGCGTGTCACAATTATTTATTTATTTATTTATACATTTATACGAATTTACAAAAATTTTGGGACTATTTGAATAAAACGAATTTTTGAAAAGAGGTTAAAATTTTCTTTGAAACAAAATTTCAGGACTGCTGATTGAATAACACAGTTGGCAAAAAGAAATAGAAGGAAAAAAATCGACAACGAGCACGGACGACATAATGTTTCGTGCTGAGAGGAACAACGGCGACGAGGACGCAGTGATGAGTCTCGTAGGTGCTGATGAACGAGTCGCTATTCTCGATGCAGGTGCACAATATGGAAAAGTCATAGATCGCAAAGTACGTGAACTCAATGTTCACAGTGAAATTCTACCTCTGGACACTCCTGCATTCACACTTAAGGAAAAAGGCTACAAGTGAGAAATAAATTCAATAATTTCCATTGTTTATAATGTATACAAATTTACCCTTGTTTTTAATTTTTAAATTCCCTTTTTTTAGTTTAATTTCATTTAGCTGTATTTTTTTTTGCTATGTCAGGGTTGCCACAGATTAGGGAAATTAGGAAATTCAGGGAAAAGTCAGGGATTTTTACTAAAGTACTGGAAAAAATAAAATTTTGAAGAAGTTACACTGAGAAAAAAATTTTTTAATCTAAAAATAAGTAGCCAAGCAGTTTAAATAAAATAATTTTATAATTGAATTAAATGTAATTTTTATTGTTACTTAATTCTTCCCAGAAATTCATTATATTCAAAGTTTTTTTTAAATTCTTGTCAAAATTTCAATTATTTTTAAAAATAATAACATCTTTTCTAAAATTCAATTATTTTCAAACATTTTAATAAAATTCATAGCAAAATTCCAGTTATTTTCAAAAATTTTCGTCGATTCAATGATTTTTATTATCAACTATTTAAATAAATTTTTTAAAAAGAATTGAAATATTTTTAAAAAATTTATTAAAATTCTACGCAAATATTTTAATAATTTCATAAATAATAAAAATTTCACAGGAATTCAACTATTTACAATTTTTTTATAAATTTTTTCGCAATAATTCAATTATCATAAATAATAAATTTTTTTACAGAAATTCAATTATTTTCATAAATAATACATTTTTTTACAGAAATTCAATTATTTTCATGAATAATAAAACTCATCATAGAAATTCAATTATTTCTAATACAATTTCAATCGAATTTCTCCAAAAAATTTAATTACTCTTGAAAATTAAATTAAAATTCGTCGAAATAATTCAATTTAAAAATTTATTGATATAATTCTTTGCGAAAATTTAATTTTGAGAAAAATTCATTTATTCAATAAATTATTTATTTTTATATTTAAATCATTGAATTCTCGTAGAATTTTCTAATAAATATTGATTTGAAAATAAATTTCAATTAAAATTTTCAATAAAAATTATAAAAAGCTGCATTGCGTGAATTTTTATAAATAATTGAATTTTGAAAAGGTTTTTAAATTAAAATCTTTGAAAATCTGAATTTTTCATACTTTTAACTAACAATTTTAAAGAATTAATTTTTTTAGAAAAAGTTTAATTTAATATTTTTTCAAAATTATGTCAAGTTTTTATTTTCTGAATATTTATTTGAAGAATTTCCTAATAATCGAAATTACATAAAATTGAATGTAAACAAATGGATTTGAAAATTCTCAAGGAACTTTTAAAAAAAATTATTAAAACTAATTGAGAATTCATCATTGAAATCTTTCAAAGACTTTTAATAAAATTTTTAAAAATAATTATATTTTTCGAAGAATTTACTTAAAATTCTATTAAAAATAATTGAAATCCTGTGAACAATTTTATTATTTAGGAGAATAATTGAATTCTTGCAACGAATTTTATAACACTTTTTTTTTAAATTGAATTCCTCAGAGGAATTTTATTATTTATGAAAATAATTAAATTCTTGCAAGGGATTTTATTACATTTTTTTTGAAAATAATTGAATACTTTTGAGAATTTTTATTAAATTAGTAGGTTTTAAAAATATTTGAATTTCAGCAAAGAATTTCATTATTTGTGAAATGTAATTGAATTCTTTCAAAAAAATTTTTGAAAATACATTACATTTTTCGAGGTATTCAATTAAAATTGTATTAAAAATAATTGAAATCCTATGAAAAATTTTATTATTTACGAAAATAATTAAATTTTATTACATTTTTTAAAAATAATTAAATTTTTCGAGGAATTCATTTAAAATTGTATTAAAAATTTAAAAATAATTGAAATCGTATGAAAAATTTCATTATTTATGAAAATAATTGAAATTTTTACAACGAATTTTATTATATTTTTTTAAATAAGTGGAATGTGAAAAATTTTATTACTTGTAAAAATAATTGAATTCTTGCGAAGGATTTTATTAAAATTATTGTAAAAAATTTAATTTTTTTTATAAGTTTTATGGAAAGTTAAATTATTATAAGTTGTTGAATTTTAAAACGGTTTGAATTTGAATCTTTTGAAGAATTTTAATTCCTATGGAAAAATAATAATGATTAAATATTTATTTAAAAAGGAACTTATTGATGTTTTCGAATAATTTTACAATTAAAAAAATTCGAAAATAAATGTAATTCAACATTTTTTTTTGAGTATCTAATAATTTTTAGAGTGAATCAAAGTTTTCTTTAACTTCAGGGAAAAAGTCAAAATTTTGTCTGGAAATCAGGGAAAAGTTAAGGAAAAACAAAATTAATTTTTTGTGGCAACCCTATATATTTGTTTTACGATATTTTTTTGTTACATTTTTTCTATATTTTTTTCCATATTTTTTTTGCTTTTTTTTTGTTACATTTTTTTAAATTCAAATTTTTCTACAGAGCCATCATCATTTCCGGTGGACCTAGTTCAGTGTATGCTGAAGATGCACCTCGGTATGATGCAGATATTTTTCGAATAGGAATTCCGGTCTTGGGAATTTGTTACGGTATGCAAATGATGAATAAAGAATTTGGTGGCACTGTAATTAGAAAGGAAGGCCGAGAGGATGGGCAATTTTCTATTGAAGTTGACTCCAAGTGCCTTCTTTTTAAGTGAGTATCTGCTGGATTAGATATTTGTGAAAAGTAATTATTTTTATTCAATATGACAAGTTTGTATCGATTTTGAATCATTTTTTTTTTAATCAATTTTACTTGTTTGTCGTTTAGGACCTTGTCAAAAGATCAGTTAGTACTTCTAACCCACGGAGACAGTATTGATAGGGTAGCGGAGAGTTTTCGCATAACTGCCAAATCGTCAAACTTCATTGCTGGCATAGCAAGCGATAAAATGAATTTGTACGGTGTACAATTTCATCCCGAAGTCGATCTCACAACTAATGGCAAAGTGATGCTGCATAATTTTCTATTTGACGTCGCTGGATTGACAGGGAATTTTACATTGCGAGGCAGAGAGACAGAATGCATTCAGTACATACGGGAGACAGTTGGCAATAATAAAGTTTTGGTAAGTTTATTATTAAAAGAAAATAAACTTTGTAATTTATTTAATTGTCAAATTTTTGACATGACAATTTGAGCTGTAAAAATAAGCTTGAATCAAAAAGCCCCAATTTGACGTGAGGGCAGAATATCTCGATTTTGCAATGATTTATTAATTTGATTGCAGCTACTGGTGAGTGGAGGCGTGGACTCGACAGTGTGTGCTTCACTGTTACGTAAAGCTCTGAATGAAAAGCAAGTGATTGCTCTTCACATCAATAATGGTTTTATGCGGAAAAATGAGACACCACTCGTTAGAACGAGTTTAGCTCAAATTGGCATTAAACTGAAGGTTGTGAATGCCGCGCACAACTTTATGCAAGGCTCAACGACAGTGCCCTCTGAAAATGTTCCAGTAATGGCCAATACTAACGTGACAAATAATAAAGGAATCACTGCCACTGGAATTGGACCACCATTTAGAATGACAAAAATGCTCTGCCAAACAACGAATCCCGAGGAGAAGCGTAAAATTATAGGCGATGTTTTTGTAAGAATAGCTAATGACGTTATGGCGGAAATGGGTCTGAAGCCGGAGGAAGTTTTCCTCGGCCAGGGAACACTTAGGCCTGATCTTATTGAAAGTGCCAGTGCACTAGCCAGTGGTGTGTAAATCAATACCTTTTTTAAAAATTCCATTTTATAGAAAAATTTATATTTTATATATTCCATTTTTTCTTGTTGTTTTTTATACTAATACTGGTTTTTTTTATATTTTGATGATAAGGTAAAGCTGACGCGATAAAAACGCATCACAATGATAGTGAATTAGTGAGAGCGTTAAGAACACAAGGCCGAGTAGTTGAACCTTTAAAAGATTTCCACAAAGACGAAGTAAGGGAATTGGGGCTTAAATTAGGATTACCAGGATTGTTGGTGTCCCGTCATCCTTTCCCTGGTCCTGGACTTGCCATTCGAATTCTATGCGCTGACGAACCCTTTATGGATAAAGACTTCTCTGAGACGCAGGTAATATTTTTGTTTCTTCAATCAATAAATTTTATATTAAAAGTAATTTCGTGGTTGCCACGCAACCTGGAAATGTCAGGGAATTTTATAAACCTTGAAAAAATCTGGAGAAGTCAGGGAATTTTTATCAGAATCCTGGAAAATTGTTGTTTTCTAAAGTCGTTCGATTTTCTTTTTGTATTGGAAAAATATTCAATTTCTAGAATTCATAAGAAAACTCTGAATTTTTGTGTCTATAAACTATGAAATTATCACAAAACCTTAAATTTTTTCTACTTCTGACAATAATTTCTTTTCAAATAACTTAATTCTTGAAAAACTATCATATATATAAAATTGATACTCAACAATTATTAAATAATTTGACATAAATATTTCAAAATCAATTGAATTTTAAAAGAGTTGCATTTACAATTTTTATAAGTAGAAATTTGAAATTTTATAAAATTTTTATTTTCAATGAATTTTATTAGAAATTTTAAAGAACTTAAATTTTTAAAATATTTTAATAATTCAAATTCTTCTGAAATTAATTCAACTTCGTAATATATGTATATTGAATTAGTTATTAAAAATAATGGATTTATAGAAGAATTTTAGTTAAAAACACAAAAAAAAAATTTAATTTTGGAGAAGTTGCAAAATTTTTTTAAATTCTCGGCAAAATTTTAATTATCTTTATAAATAATAAAATTCTTTTTAGAAATTCAATTATATTAAACAATTGTAATAAAATTCTTGACAAAATTTCAATACAATTCTTGTGAAAATTTTAATTTATTTTCAAAAATTTTCCTTAATTCAATGATTTTCAATGGCTATTCGCAATAATTCAATTATTATAAATAATCAAATTTTTTTTGCAGAGATTTAATTATTTTTAATACAATTTTAATCGGATTCGTCAAAAAATGTAATTGTTCTTAAAAATATTGAAATTTGTCAAAATAATTCAATTGTTTAAAATTTTTTTTTTAATAAAATTCTTTATTAGAATTCAATTCTGAGAAACATTCAATTATTTAATAAGTTATTTATTTTTCTATTTAAATAATTGAATTACCGTAGAATTTTCTAATAAAAATTGATTTAAAAATAAATTTCAGTTGAATTTTTAGATAATAATAATTGAATATTAAAAGCCTTATAGCGTGGATTTTTAGAAATAATTGAATTTTAAGAAGGTTTCAAATAAAATTTTTTGCAAGAATTCAATTATTTTTATAAATTTAATAAAATTCATCACAGGATGTCAACTATTTATAATACAAATTAAAATTAATTCATCGAAAAATGCAATTATTCTTTAAAAATTAAGTAAAATTCTTCGAAAGAATTTAATTATTTTTAAAAATATAAATTCCATTCTTCGCAAGAATTCAATTATTGTTTCAAATAATGATGTTCTTAAAAATTCAATTATTTTTAAAAATTTTAATAAAATTTGTTGCAAGAATTCAATTGTTTTAATAAAGAACAAAACTCATCACACGATTTCAATTATTTTGACTGCAATTTTAAGTGAATTTCTCAGAAAATTTCTTGAAAGAATTTAATTATTTTCAAAAATTTTAATAAAATTCTTTATAACAATGAAATTATTTTCATAAATTTTAATAAAGGTCTTTATAAGAATTGAATTTTAAGAAATATTCAATTATTTAATAAGTTATTTATTTTTGTATTGAAATAATTGAATTTTTATATAATTTTGTAATGAAAATTGATTTAAAATTGAATTGCAGTTAAAGTTTTGGATAATAATAATTGAATATTAAAAGCTTTATTGTGTGAATTTTTATAAATAATTGAATTGTAAACAAATGGATTTGAAAATTGTCAGAGAACTTTTTCAAAAATTATTAAATATAATTGCTTTAAAGAAGAATTTTAGTTGAAAATTCCAGAAAATAATAATAATTGAATTGAAATGATGAAAATAATTTTGAAGAAATTGTAGTAACAATATTCTTATAATATAAAATAATGATTCGGTCATTCTTAAATTATTATAAAACATGAAGAAATAGATCTATCCGAGTCGAAGACTCGGATTGCTCGATTTCTTCCTGTTTTATAAAGGTTTGAATTTGAATATTTTGAAAATTTTAATTCCGTTGGAAAAATAATAATGATATATATTTGTTTATAAAAATTTATTAGTTATTTAATTTGGCAAAAAATAAATATAGTTATAAAAACCTGGAAAAATTCCGTTTTTTAATCTGGAAAACCTGGAAGAGTCAGGGAATTTGAATTGAGTGAAAGCGTGGCAACCCTGTTAAATAATAATAATAATAATATATATGTAATTAATTATTAAATTTGTGTTTTTAGGTAATAGTTAAAATAATGGCAGAATATGAACAAATGCTTCAAAAGAAACATGCTCTCTTAAATCGTGTTGAGGGAGCAACTAGTGAAACCGAACGACAGCATTTACGAAGAGTTTCGAGTAGTCGTCATATTGCTGCCACACTTTTGCCTATTCGTAGTGTGGGAGTTCAGGTAAAGTATTTTTTTATTTAGTAAAAATTAAATCCTCTGATTTTAATAATGGAATGAAATTTTAATAACAGAATGAAATTTTGATAATAGAATGAAATTAATGATTTGTATTTTCATTGCAAACAGGGTGATAGACGTAGTTATAGTTACGTAGTGGGACTTTCGACCGAAGAAAGTAGTGGCGAAACGATTGAATGGGACGATATGTTGTTCCTCGCCAAGTTGATTCCACGAGTGTGTCACAATGTGAATCGTGTCTGTTACATTTTTGGACCGATGGTTCACCATCCAATCACCGATATTACACCGACACATCTCACGTCAAATGTCATTGGCACATTGAGGCAGGCGGATCATTTAGCTAATCAGGTTCTAGCGTCAAATGGCTGCATGCAGGAAATAAGTCAAATGCCAATTGTCCTTATTCCTGTTCACTTCGACAGAGACGCGGCCATAAGAGCGCCCTCCTGTCAACGATCCGTTGTTCTCAGGCCTTTCTTGTCTCAGGACTTCATGACAGGCACTCCAGGAATACCTGGCAAAGAGCTACCCGTACATGTAAGTCAAATTCTCATAACTAAATTTTCAATTCTTCTATTATTAGTATCTATCTATATTAATAATATAATAACATATCAATAAAAAACAAAAAATTCGCGCGTTAACTTCTCATTTAATTAGAAATTTCAAAGAACTTAGATTTTTCAAAAATTTTAATAATTATTTAATAATTATTGTTTCGTGAAAAATTCTGGGTAAATTCAATTAATAATTAGAATTTTTCTGAAATCAGTAACATTTTTTAATATATATTTAATTAATTATTAAAAATAATGGATTTACAGAAGAATTTTAGCTGAAAACACTAAAAAAAAATTGAATTTTTAAGAAGTTACAAATAATTGCAGAAATTCAATTATTTTCAATAATTTTAATAAAACTCTTGGCAAAATTTCAATCATTTTCAAAAATTGTCCTCAATTCTATGAATGAATATTTTAAAAATTTTTTAAAAATTCTTTAGAAGAATTTAATTTTCAAAATTTAAATAACATTTTTAGTAACATTTTAATTATTGTTTCATAAAAAATAAAATTTTACACACGAAACTTAAATTGTTTTCAATACAATTTTAATTATAATTCTCGAAAAAAATCAATTATTTTAAAAAATTTTAATAAAATTCTTCGCAAGAATTCAATTATTTTTGATAATTTTAATAAAATTCGTTGCAAGAATTCAATTATTTTCATAAATAATAAAACTCATCACAGAATTTCAATTATTTTAAATTATTATTGTTATTAAAAATTTTAATAAAATTCGTCCCAAGAATTCAATAATTTTAAAATTTTTAATAAAATTCTTCGCAAGAAGACAATTATTTTCATAAATAACAAAAATTTCACAGGAATTCAATTATTTACAAATTTTTTCGCAATAATTTAATTATTTTCATAAATAATAAAATTTTTTACAGAGATTCAATTATTTTCATGAATAATAAAATTCTTATTAGGAATTCAATTATTTTAATAAATAATAAAACTCATCAAAGATTTTCAATTATTTTTAATAACATTTTGATCGAATTCCTCGAAAAATGTAATTATTATTCTTAAAAATTTATTGATAGAATTCTTTATGAGGATTGAATTTTAATAAACATTCAATTATTCAATCAATTATTTATTTTTTTATTTAAATAATTGAATTCTCGTAGAATTTTCTAATTATAATTGTATTGAAAATAATTAAATTTTAAACAATAATTTTATTGTCTAGAGAAATTTTAATAAAACTGTAAATATTAAAAATAATCAATTTCTGGTGAAAAATTTTATTAAAATTTTTCATAAAATGATTGAATTGTCTCCGAATATTTTATTAAAATACTTTAAAGTAAATTAAATTCTTTTGAGGATTTTCATTAAAATAGAAATAAAAATTATTGAATTCATGTGAAGAATTTTATTAAATTTTTGGAAAACTGAATTTTAATATAGTTTTAAATATAATGGGATTCTTTCGAGAAATGTTATTAAAATTGTTTTGGAAGTAATGGAATTTTATCAAAATTTTTGAAAGTAATTGAATTGTTTCAAAAGAATTTTATTAAAATATTTGAAAGTCATTAAATTCTTTTGACGAATTAATTAAAGATTTAATTTTGTAGTTGATGAATTTAATTTATTAATTGATAAATTCAATTAAAATTGGTATAAAAATTATTGAATTACTATAAAGAATTTTATCATAATTTTGATAAATATTTGAATTCTTTCGAAGAATTTTTTGGAAATGTAAAAAAAAACTAAATTGTTTTGAGAAATGTTGTTAAACTTGTTTTGAAAATAAGTGAATTCTTCAGCAGAATTTTATTATTTAGGAGAATAATGGAATTATTGTGAAGAATTTTATTAAATTTTTTTAAATAATTGAATTTTTGAGAATAATTTTAATATAGTTTCAAAAAAATTTGAATTCTTTCAAGAAATATTATTTAAAATTGTTTTGACAGTAATTGGATTCTTTCGAAAAATTTCAATAAAATTTTTGAAAATAATTAAATCCTTTTGGGAAATTTAATTAAAATTGTATTGTAAATAAATGAATTTCTCAGTAGAGTTTTTTTATTATTTTATTAAGATTTTAAAAAATAATCGTGTTCTTTTGACAAATTTCTTTAAATTTGTATTGGAAATATGTAAATGAATTCGTCAAAATAATTTTCTTATTTTTTAAATAATTTTATGCTTGAGAAGAATTTTATTTTTGAAAATAGTAAAAATTAAATGATTAGTTAATAAGTGAATTTTGTTTTAATCTAAAATTATTAAAAAATAGAAGGTGATATTTGAAAATTAAATTTTTACAATTTATATAATTATTAAAGGGTTTGTTTGAACCCGTGTATGTCTTGAAATAAATAAACAATTAATAATAGTTGCTAATAATACTAATAATCCTATTAGAATTCGTCTAGTAATAGAATGAAATATTTTTTTAATGAAAAACCGAATAATTTGCAGGTGGTGAAGAAAATGGTGTCTGAAATATCCTCGGTACCAGGCATTTCCCGCGTGCTGTACGATTTGACGTCTAAACCACCAGGTACCACCGAATGGGAGTAGTGAACATTAAAAATTCATGCCCGACTTATCTGTTTCTATTTTTTCACCACCCTCGCGCGTAACATCTAACAAAAAAGTGAAAAAGAACTATTTATGAAATATACATATTATATATATTATATATATATATACAGAACACGTAATGAAATTGAGGTTAAAATGACTTCTTATTGTTTATTACAAATTTATAAAATCAAGATTCGTTTTGAATTCGAAAAAAAATTGCACTAATACACATGTACGTCATTTTGCGCTCTTTTTAAAAGAATGCACAAAAAAAGTAAAAAAAAAGAAAAAAAAGAATAAAATCCGGTGGTATTGTGTTCAATAAAAAAAAAGGTGGCAGGTAAGTATATCATGTTTGCTTGTAAATATATTCGTTTTTAGATAAATTGTAAAAAAACATTAATTTATTTTATCTCAAAAGAAAAACCGAAGTTAACATATATTGTCACTCCTGCACTTGTGAAGATTGCATCTGATCGTTGGTACCATTAGACTACTCTTATACTCGATCTGCATATAATGTTGAACATGCTCCACTATTTTTCTGTATGCCTCATGCCAAACGCAACTTCCAGATTTTGTTATACATCTAAAACAGAAAATGAACAAAAAAAAAGAAATGACAAACAAACATGTAGAGCGAATCGATGTAATTTGATCATGATACCATGTTTTTTTCATCAATTATAATTTCATGAAAAAGTAAACAAAACAAAAAATCCCTCAATCTCCATAAGTGTTCTTTTTATATTCGACAAACATCCGTTTACATGAAAAATGAATTTTTTTTTTAAACTTTAACAAATTCTCACCTGTGCATGCATTTTAATAAAACGTGTAGATCTTCAATTAATTTTTTTCCTGGAAGCATGCTCAAATATGTGGCTAGTGATAAAATGTCTATTTCATTAACAAACTCCGAATCGGAAACCCAACTTTGTATCTGCATTCTGATCTGCAATTTCAAAAATTTTTAGATTGTTTGCCTCAAATTTTGAATATATAATTTTACATCTCCAGGGTTGCCACAAAAATTTGATTTTCATTTTCCCTGAAACTTTTCCCTGATTTCCAAAAAAGAATTTTGACTTTTCCTAAAAATTATTAAATACAGAAAAAAAATGTTTCCTATACATTTTGTATTTATGGATATCATTAATTGTAAAATGATTCGAAAACATCAATACTTTTTTGGGTAAATATTTAAATTATTGTTTCTCCATAGAAATTAAGATTTAACAAAATTTTTCATTTCTATCTGTTTGAAATTCTATAATTTATAAGACTATTGTTACAGTAACTTCTTCAAAATTATTTTCACCGTTTCAATTAAATTATTATTTTATAGAATTTTTAACTAGAATTCATCTCTAAATCTATTTTTAATAATTCTTCGTTTATCTTATTTATTATTTTTAATAATTTTTGAGAATTAAATTATTAAAAAACATCTAAATTCAATTGCTAAAAATTTCTATTATAACTCTTCTAATATTAAATTATTTTCTAGAATTTTTAACCCAAATTTTTTTTTCAAATCAATTATGTTTAATAATGTTTGAAAAAATTCTTTGACAATTCAATTACTCCAAGAAAAAAAATAAATTTCACCTAAAATTGTTCTAAAATCCATTTGTTTATAATTAAATTTTACGAAATTTTAAATTGTTCGAAAATTTTTCAATTAATTCATTAAAATTTCAAAATTCAACTGATTTCAGAAAAATTTAAATAATCATTTTCCAAAAAATAACTTTTTCAGAATTTTTAATTACAATTCTTCAAAAATTAACATTTTAAAAATTTTCCATTTTTAACGTTCAAATTTTCTAAAATTTCAATTTGAAATTATTTTTGGAATTTTCAAATAAAATTAAAAGAAAAGAATGTTCACCTGAAATAATTCTGAAATCCATTTGTATACAATTAAATTTAACGTAATTTTTATTATTTGAAAATTTTTCAATTGAATATATTAAAAAATGATCAACTAAAAGCAAAAAAAAAAAAGTTTGTCAAAAAACTAATTTCTTCAAATCTTTTCATTAAAATTGTTTAAAATTAAAATTTTCTAATGTTTGAAATTGAAACCTATTGAAATTTATTTATTTATAAAACTTATAATTAAACACAACTTTTATAAAAAAATCATTTGAGAAATTGCATAAAATTTTTCTTGAAAATATAAGAATTCTTCAAAAGAAATTTCTTATTTATGAAAATAATTGAATTCTTGCGAAGAATTTATTAAAATTTTAGAAAATAATTGAATTTTGGAGAAGAATTTCAAAATAGTTTCAAAAATAATTGAATTCTTTCGAGAAATGTTATTAAATTTATTTCCAAAATAATTGAATTGTTCCGAAGAATTTTCATAAAGATTTCAAAAATAAATGGATCCTTATGAGAAATTTTATAGAAATTAAAAAAAAAAAATTCCAATTATTGTTCTAAAAAATTTTATTAAAATTTTTGAAAATAATTATATTCTTTCGAGGAATTTAAATAAAATTGTAATGACAATAAACGAATTCTTATGATAAAGTTTATAAAAATTAAAAAAAATTTCAATTGTTCCGAAAAATTGTATTAAAATTTTTGAAAATATTTATTTTCTTCGAAGAATTTAATTAAAATTGTAATGAAATAAATTGAATTGTTATGAAGAATTTTATCAAAATTTTTTGAAATATTGAATTCTTTCCAGAAATTTTATTATAATTAAAAAAATAATTGAATCCTTTTTTAGAAATTTCATTAAATTTGTATTAAAAATTAAATAATCTCCTCAGAAGAATAAAAAACGAAATTATTCTCTAAATAAAATATTTTTAATATTTTCGGAGAAAATTCTCTGAATATTCAACTGTTCAAAGAAAGAAAGAAAGAAAGAAACTTTGGAATAATACTTTCAAAATCCACTTGTTTATAATTTAATATTACGAAATTTTGAATATTCGAAAATTTTTCAATTTAATTTATAATCAGAAATTCAAATAATTTAAAAGAACTTGAATATCTAATAATTTTTCTTTAAAAAAACTTACTTACTTCTTCTAAAGAATTTTTAATTCAAATTATTTAAAAATATAATTTTCCAAAATTTCAATTTGAAATTATTCAAATTATTGTTGGAAAAAAAAATCAAAGTTTTATATTAAAAATCTTATAATTTCGAAGTTTATAACGCAAACAAAAAGAAATTCAAGAAGAATTTAATCTTTTTAATATTTTCAAAAGTCGCTAGACACGAAATTATAGAATTTTCTTATAAATTCTTTATTTATTTATTTTTTTAATTAATTTAAAACTCTAATTTTCTTTCAGTACTTTTAATAAAATTTCCTCATTTTCCCCTGATTTCCAAAAAAGAATTTTTTTTATTTTTCCCCAAAATTTTCTGATCAATTTTATTTTTTTGCCCTGACCTGTGGCAACTCTGCATCTCGTTACGTGTGAGAAAATAATACTCTTTACTAAAGAGAAAGAAAAAACGTACCATTAATTAAAAATATTCTTAATTAAGGCATGTGTAGATAGCAGAACAAAAAACAAAAAACAAAAATAAACATTAATATTAAAATTAGAAAATTAATAATTTACTTTGGGTATTTACCTGATCAGTTGACAAATCGAACATACATTTAACAAGAGCGCTCAACGCTTCCTCCTGGCCTCCACTTTTCACATCATTCTTTGTGTTAGGAAAGGATCTGATGTGTGAAATTATAGCTGTCATTTCTTTCTCTTCTCTCTCCTCCATTCTTTCTAATGTATTTGGCTCTTTTTCTTCCATTTCCATACGTTTCACTAATTCGAATTTATTTTGTTCCTGATTTGTTTCTATCACACGAACTGGCACCGTATTTCTAACAAGAGAATTTTTTGGTTTTCTCCCTCTCGTTGATTTTGGTTTTGGTATTTTTGATTTTTCTATCTGATTTGTTTGAAAATTTTTTGGTTTTCTACCTCTCGTTGATTTTGGTTTTGGTATTTTTGATTTTATGTCAATAGACTTTTTCTTCTCTGCGTTACTTTTCTCGCGTCTCTTCATCATGCAGAACATTTGTACGTCGTCTCTCATGTCGTCTGGTAGGGCTGCTAAAAATTCTGGGTCCACTTGAGAGAAGGAAAAGTCTTTTTCATCGGTCAAGTAATTAAAATTCTTATTTGATGGTCGTCTCGATGTGGTTTCGACTTTAGTTTCTATTTTTGATTCGTGACTTTTAGATTTAGAAATATCTTTCGATATTTCTTTCGAAATTTCTCTAGATTCGGTTGTTGTCGATGGAACGGTTTCGGATTTCTTATTAGACTTGTATTCGTTTAAGATTTCATTTCTTATGTCCTCGGGCAGTTCGACGAGGACGGCCATGTCGACTTCTTGAAGAGGCGGCAATTCTACTTTTCCCTTTGGTAGATTCTTTTTCTCTTTAAAATAGATCTCTGGTTGATTTTGTACCGTTTTTGTAGATCCTTTGGATTTTTCTTTCTGGCATTTATCGGTGTTTGACTTCTTTGTTTTACTGGCTTCAATCTCTTTTCTGATATCTTCCGGTAGTTCATTTAAAATTGAATCATCAATTTCTTGCGACGGGAGAATTAATTTATTCTTCGAAAAGGAAGTTGAGTTTGGTTTATTTTGAATATTAGATTCTGGAAAAAATGATTTATGATTTTTCACTTTAGAGGTGTTTTTTATTTCAATTGATTCGGATTTTTTAGGGGAAATTTCTGAAGTTTTTTTGGAGACATTATTCTCTGTATCGTTCGTGTCCGAAGTTGATTGTTTAGCTTTGTTGAAAAAATTGACTAAAGCATTGGAATTCGATTTATGTTTGATAATTTCGAGTCTTGATATTTGAATTCCAATGCCTCGAATTTCCTCCGGTGTTTGTTGCATTTGGTTCCATAGACTGAGAACTTCTCTGGAAAAATTAATCCGCATGAAGTAATTTTCAAAAATATACTTTTCCTCTAGTAATTATATTATTAATTATTTTATTTTAATAAGAATTAATAAAATTTTTCGTAAGAATTAAATCATTCTCATATAATTTGAGAATTTCTCATTTCTCATTCTTTGAAAGAATTAAATTATTTTTATAATTAAAATTTATAAAGTAAAATTCTTCATAAAATATTGAAATAGAAAAAAATCTCATTCAGTTGAAAGTTTAAAACTTTAGAAAAATTATTTGAGTGGAAATAATAAAAATTGGAACTTGGAAATTAAAAATGATAATAAAAATTAAATTGCAAGTTTCTTACCTGGTAATAATTAAGTGATCATCAACGGCAGCAATAAAATTTTTCGATTTCGTGAAGTAATCGCAGAGTCCATGGCCCATGAATTTTGCTGTTTCTACGGGAGCATCCTTAGCTCGAACCATTAACTTCAAAGTTAAGTTTCTTCCCTTTGCGTTTGCATTTCTCAATCGAGTGCAGATTTCATGAGATAATTTCTTTAAAAATTCTTCGGCGTCCAAATGGTTCTCAAAACGAATTCCATAGTTTACTTCGGCAGAAATAGATTTTCTCACATGTTCCATATTTAATTTTGAATGATCAATTCCTCGGCACATGTTGTAAAGTAATTCGCCTGTTTTCTTTCCAAACTCTTTTTGCAGAGCAAACATTTCAAATGCCTGAAGATCCAAACAAGTTTTAATCTGCATTGCATTTAATTTACTTGTCGTTGAATATCCAACACCTAAATTAAAATATAATAAAAAATAAAATTGGTTAATAAAGAAGAAAAGAAGAAAATGAAAAAACAGAGTTGCCACAGGTCAGAGCAATTAAACAATTCAGGAAAGGTAAAATTGGCCAGGAAAATCAGTGAAATGTCAGGAAATTTTATCAAAAGTATTGAAAAAAAATTAAATTATCATTATCTTTAAAAATACAAAAATAAATGAAATCGAATAAAATTCTTCGCTGCAATTCAATTACAATTTCAATAAAAATTCTTGAAAGTATTCAATTATTTTAAAACATTTTTGGAAAGAATTAAATTATTTTCTAAAATTTTAATAATATTATTCGAAACAATTAAATTATTTTCTAAAATTTTAATAAAACTACCATTCAAAATAATCCAATTATCCTCAAAATTCTTCACAGAAATTTAATTATTTTTAATACAATTTTAATAAAATTTCTCCAAAGAATTGAATAACTATTAACAAGTACAATAAAATTTTTGATAAAATAATTTATAAGAATTCAATTATTTTAATAAATAATAAATTTCTCCGCCTGAAATCAAGTATTTCCAGTACAAATTTTATAAAATTTCTCGAAGGAATTCAATTATTTTCAAAATTTGTCATAAAATTTTAGGAAGAATTCATATAATTATCAGAAAATGTCAATAAAATTCAATAATCAAATGTTTAATTACAATTATTAACAAACACGATTATTTTAAAAATTTAAAAGAAATTCTACATCAAATTTAATTACTTTCAAAATTTTCAGTAAAATTATTAAAAAACTTCCATTATTTTCAAAAAATTCAAAGAAATTCGATTATTTTCATAAAGAATAAAATTCTTGGCCAGAATTCAATTATTTTTAGAAATTCTGATAAAATTCTTCGAAATAATTCAATTATTTTCATAGATATTAAAATTCTTCGGACGAATTCAATAATTTTAAATACAATATTTTAATAAAATTTCTGGAAATAATACAAGTGTTTTTAAAAATAGTAATTAAATTAGATTATTTTCAAGAATTTTAATAAAAATTCAATTATTTTCAAAATTCTTAATAAAATTCTATCAAAATAATCAATTATTTAAAAAAATTCTGATGAAATTCTTTCAAACAATTTAATTATTTACAGAAATTGTAAAATTCTTCGCAAGAGTTCAATTATTTTTATAAATAATAATATTCTTTTCAGCAATTCAATTATTTTCAATACAATTTTAATAAAATTTCTATAGGAAAATATTTATTTATATTAAATTAAATTTCATTAAAATTTCTCTAACGGATTTAATTATTTTTAAACATTGTAATAAAATTTTTCTAAAAAATTCAATTATTCTCAAAAATTTTTGATAAAATTCTTTGTAGATTTCAATTATTTTTTCAAAGTTTTCAATTAAAATTATTTAAAAAAATTACATTTTTTTACGAAATTTAATAAAATTCTTCAAAAAAAAAATGTAATTATTTAACGAAACTAATTAAATTGTTTGAAAGAATTTAAATTTCTATCAATAATTTTAATATATTTTATAGGAAACTTATTAATTATAATTAATAATAAACACGATTATTTTAAAATTTTAAAGAAATTCTTTATAAAATTCGATTAATTTCAAAATTAAAAAAAAAATTGAAATGAATTCTTCAAAATACTTAAATTATTTTAAAGAATTTTAATAAAAATCTTGCCAAGAATTAAATTATGTATTTTTAAGAATTTTAATAAAGATCTTGCCAGGAATTAAATTATTTTCAAGAATTTCCATAAAATTTTTGCACAACATTTTTTGCAAGAATTCAATTAGTTTTAATACAATTTTAATTAACTTTTCTTGAAAAAATTTAATAATTGTTTTTAAATATCTTGATAAATACTTTGAAAGAATTCCATAAATTTTTGAATAATTGATTTAAATTCTGTATGATGACTTATTTTTTATGAAAGTAATTAAATTCCTAAAAAAATTTCTATTATTTATGAAAATAATGCCATGTTTGTGTAGAATTTTATTAAAATTTCTTAAATCATTGAATTCTATTGGAAAATTTTATGAAAATAGTACCTAGATATTAAAAATTATTTAATTGAGGGAATTTTTTGAAAATAATTGAAATTTTGACAAGAATTTTATTTATATTTTTAAAAATAATTGAACGTCGGAGAAGAATTTTATTATTTATGAAAATAATTGGATTCCGGAGAAAAATATTATAATTTATAAAAAATAGTTGTAATTTTGAGGAGAATTTTTAAAAAATTTTGAACAGAATTGAATTTTAGCGAAGAATTTTATTACTATTGAAAATAATTAAATTTTTGCAATCATTTAAAAATTCTCTAAAATTCAATTTTTTTTAGTAATTCGTCTGTAGATCCATTATTTTTATTAATTAATTAAAAAATTAAATATATATTAACAAATTTAATAAGTTTTGAAAGAATTTAAATTATTAAAATTTTTCAAAAATCAAAGTTCTTTAAAATTTTAAATTAAATTCATTCAAAATTGAAATTTTCTAACATTTTAAATTAAAATCTTTTGAATCTATAATTTACCTGGCAAGTCCTTGACATTCAGAGTCCCAACAAAATTCAAAACAGACTCTTCCGTCAAGTGAAACTGACCATCGGGTTTCGCTTTTTTCGTAGCGAGTCTCGCTTGCAGTTTATTACTCCCAAAACCTGTGGAAACAGGACATCCGGTCTTCTCCTTAATCTCCCGTCTGATAAACGTTGCAAACTCCAAAGGCGTCACATTCCCTTTAGAAAGAACTTTCGAGCAATCTACATACATTTCGTCACAACTCACCGCCTCGATGTCCAGTGTGTAAGAAGCCACCGTATTATAAAGTGCATAAGAAACTTCCTTGTAACCCTCAAAGTCATATTTTATCGTTTTCAAATTCGGACAAAGTTTCTGTGCCTGACCCAGGAACATTCCATTCTTTAAACCAAATTTTCTGGCCTCATAGGAGCAGGAGGCGATTTCCGAATAGGAACCCTCTTGATTTTCATTGGATTTATTTCCCTTTGCATGCGTCACAGCGACTGGTTGATCCTTCAATTCGGGACGATTTCGAATTCCCACGGAAACAAAGAAACAGTCCATATCAATATGCATTATGATATTTTCGGGTAGAGTTTCATTCGGACTTGAATCGGTCGCAAATATATCGTCTTCAGAATCGGAATCGACTTTTGTCGAAGGTCCCGGTTGATTGAATTTTTTCTCCATTATCAATCGGTCGAGTCCGGGAAAATTGCCTTTATTTTTGTCACGTAGTTCGTTTATGTAGTCCTTGAATGTCGCTCCCATTGTTGCGATGTGGTGTAAACGTGAATTGTTATAGAACTCGGAAATGAAGTCCGAATTTTTTGAGCACAGGGCGGATTTATTTTTTAAATTATCCTTTGATTCGTTAGTGTCGGAGGTTTTTACATCCACTGACGGTTTGGAAACATTTATTTCCTTTTTTGATTTATTTGCAAGTTCCGAAGATTTTCGAACTGAATTTTCGTTCTTCGCCTGATTGGTTACATCCAATTTTGGGGAATCCAACTTTTCTAATATTATTCTTAAAGAATCTTTATTTGCTTTTGGAGTCGAATTCTTCAAAACTTGGCTATTTGTACCTATTTGTCTTGTTTGGCTATTTGTCTTATTCAAAAAATCCCCCTCACTTGGAAATCGACTCTGTGGACTGTTTACATCACTATTTGTCGAATTTAAAATTGATTTACGATCCTGAACTGAATTCGAACCTTTTGTAGTTTGCAACTGAGAAGTTGATTTTCCAGGGTTTTTGCTATCAGCAATGGATCTATTTGGACTCGATTTAAAAACATTAAATAACTGAGGTTGTTGTCTTGTACTTTGAGAATAGAGTAAATACTTTCGAAAGTCCAAAATTTTTGCTGCTTTAATACTGTCCGTTATCCAGGAAGGTTTACAGAGTGGCAGAGGATTTTTACTCTTCATATACATGACTATTTTTGAATAGGGAAGATTTGAGGCAATCAGATGAGTCGTTTGTTTGGGTCTTAAATATTGATGATAAACTCCTCCATGCTCGAGCATTAATCGTCTAAGAACGTCCGCTGTGGGGTCTGTGTAACCATTAACGAATATTGCGATGCCTTGAAATAATGTTGAGGTATTTTCAAACTCCGTTTTTGCATCTGTCAGAAATTGTTCTTCTAATTTCGCCTTCTTCGCCTCCATGTAACCACCCTATTTTAAAAAAAAATTTTATGAGTATTTATAGACATAAATAATAAAAATATCATATGAATATTTATTTAATATTTAAATTTTTAAAAATATTTAAATATTTTTCGTTTATTTTCCTTCATTTATAATTTAAATATTTAATATTTAAAATATTTATTTAAACAGGGTTGCCACAAAAATTTAATTTTCTTTTTCACTCATTTCTAGTTAGAATTTTGACTTTTTCTCTAACTTTAAAAAATATTCTGATTCATTTGAAAAATTATTAAATACTGAAAAAAAATCCTAATACTTTTATTTGCAAATTTCTCTAAAAGTAAAATTATTCGAAAATATCAATAACTTCTTTTTTAAATAAATATTTAATCATTATTATTTTTCAAGAGGAATTAAAATTCTTCAAAAGATTCAAATTCAAACCTTTTTTGAAATTCAACAAGAATATTATTATAAAACATGAAAAAATCGATCACTCCGAGTCGAAGACTTGGAGTAATCGATTTCTTCTTGTTTTATAATAATTAAAGATGACCGAGTGATAAAATAATTTTTTATATTATAAAAATATTGTTAATTTACATTAAAAATGTTTTTATAATATAAAAAATCTTTAAAATTATTTTTACTCAATTTTCTTAAATTTTTAATTAAAATTCTCTAAATCAATTATCTTTTTAGAGTTTTTAACTAAAATTCTTCTCTAAGTCAATTATTTTGAATAATTTTCAGAAAATTCTTCTCTAAATCAATTCTTTTTAATAAATTTCAGAATATTTTTTTCTATAAATCAATTATTTTTAGGAAAATAAAAGTTTTGAACATTCAAATGAACAAAATATTTTTTTCTACTCCAATATTTTTAAAAGTTACTGAACTGAAATGAAAAAAAAATTTAATTAAATATTTATTTAGTTAAAAATTATTTTTTTAATTATGAAAAACAATATTTTGTAAATAAAATTCAAATTAAAAACGGTAATAAAAATATCGTCGTTCATTTGAACGTTCAAAACTTTAGGGACATTATTTTCAATAATATTCAAAAAATTTTGTTCTGTATCAATTATTTTTAATAATTAAAGTTATATTAGAAAAAATGCATCTAATTGTAAAAGAATTTGAATTAAAATTTTTCAAAAAACAATGTTTAACAAAATTTCTAAATAAATTAAATCAAAATTCAAATATTCTAAAATTTCAATTCAAAACCTATTGAAATTCAATTATTTTTTTTATTTTTTAAGTAAAATTATTCATTAAATATTTTATAAGCAATTATTTTACAATTGTTTTTTAAGAATTAAATTTTTTCAAATAAATTCAATTTCATATTCTGTAAAGCTCAAATGTTTTCAGAAATAAAAAAAATTTAAGTTTATTTTTTGTGAAGAATTAATTCTTTTTAATATTTTCAAAGCTTTCTAGGCAATAAAATTTTAAATTATCTTATGAATGCTAAAAACTTAATTTTTTCCAGTACTTTTAATAAAATTCTCTGACTCTTTTCTGAGAACAATTCTACTTTCCCTGATCTTATGAATGCCAAAAACTTAATTTTTTCCAGTACTTTTAATAAAATTCTCTGACTCTTCTCTGAGAACAATTCTACTTTCCCTGATTTTTCCCCATATTTCCTTATTTCCCTGACCTGTGACAACCCTGTTAAAATATTTTATGAATTTTTAAAATAAATTTTATTTGTATATCAAAATTATTATATCTTGAAATATAATTATATTTATATTATTTATATTTCATACCCAGGTTTCGAAGACATCCTCTGCCCAATTTTTCATTTTCTTTTCCATGATGATATTTTACACATTTGCCTTCTTATAACACTTTGCTTTCAACAATATAATTATTTTATATATTTTTAAAAATCACCACTTGTTAATATTTCATTTATTATTGTATATTGATATATTTTTAACATTTTTAAAAATTACCACTTGTTATGATTATAGAAACATTTTTAGGTTAGGATCCACTATTTTGATTTATCCGATTTCCAATAAAATTTTCTTCCAGTGTTGATTTTATTTAAAAATTTCCAAGTAAAATATTTAATGTAGACTAAAATAAAATATTTTGTAACATTTATTTCACGTAATTATTTAAAAATGTGTTCTTTGTTTTGTTTTGACGGTTGACTTGACAAAATTGACGTGAGAACCATTGAATATATGAATAGAGTGGAAACTGCGTACTACTTTCTGCTTCCTGTTTCAGTCATATTTTTCACATATAGTTTCGGGTCAACATTTGAACTTACAAAAATTTAAATTATTGAATTATTTTAATCATTTAAATAAAAAGAAAGAAAGATAAAAGAAAATTTTAAAGAATTTCTATTTTTTTAAAGAAGAAAATAGTAAACAATGATAATTTTCATAAAAATATTTAACCTAGGGAAAAATGAAGTATTTTTAAAAAAGAAAACACGACAAAATACAGTTGCATTAATTTTTAATTTAAAATATATAAACTGTACATATATTTATAGGTAATATGTATTTATATTTTATATACTTTTTAGGTGATGTAGTAGTTTTGTTGGTATGATAAATTAATAGTGTGTATGACGTATTTATACGCGTTGGCAATTGAGCAGCGAAATAAAAAAAAGATTTCCAAATTTTCTCTTTTTTTTTGGAAAATTATTAACAAAAAAATCTTTCATTAATAATGAAACACATACTGCTCATCAGCCGATTTATTATCTAATTCCAAAAACAATCACTTATTAATATTATCGTACCCTACTCAGTCCATTCTACAATGAACAATAAAATAAACTGTTCATTCATGTAAGTATATTTTTTTTCTGTATGATAAAAGAATTCGTAAAAGAAATATTTCTTTTTTTTTTCTTCTCTATTATATATATTTATGAGCGAACTTAAAACCTTTTGGTTTTCTGGCATTTATCACTTATTGAAAAAATAGGACATAATTTTGTAGACTTAATTTTTTTTTTTTGATTAATACGTTTTTCATTTTTTTGTATTTATAATTATTTCATATTCAGCAATAATTGAAACTGTCCTTTGATTTTAAATTACTAAAATACATCGCATTAAAGACAAATAAGACTACAATAATTTTTTTTATATGATAAGGCTCTAGTACGCCATTCACCATGAATCAAAGAATAAATACTTCAGTCTTAAAAAAATAATTTTAATTCAAAAGTCACGATAATTTAATGTCCTATAAGATAATTTTTCAAGGGGAATTTTAAGCTTGATTTTTTAAAATTTAGCTCTTCCCCTCTTTTTTTTGTATTATAAATGAAAATTAAGAAATTAAAAAAAAATACTTATAATCAATAGACAGCCATAAAATTATTAAACGAACTGTACATATATAATTTTAGTAAAAAAAACTTCTAAATATTTACAAACAGAACTAGTTATATAAAATTTCGCAGTACAATAAGCATATTATAATATAGAAACAAACTTTGTTCATGAACTAAAGTCTAGTAAATTTTTTGTTTTAAATCACACAAGAAGTATTATACATTAGTTTTCAATGCCATTAAAAAGTTTTCTGACATTAATTTATAAAAAAGTTTTAATTTTTCTTATACCTAGTTTACCAATCCACAATACTAAAATGTAATCGTTCGGAACATAAGAACAATCTACGCATACATTTTGTTTTAAACAAAAATTTTCTTTTTAGAAAAGTCGATTAATACTCATGGTGAAAAGATACACTATCGCGTCTTATCCTAATGGTCACTTGGTTCCCTTACGTATGCAATTTTCAATAGTAATTTTTTTTTTGTTTGTCATTTATATGCGACTTAAGTTTGGAGAATAATTGTAATTAAACAGTAAACTAGATATTTTTCATAAAATGTTTTTGATAAATAAAATTATTCTGCAAAAAGGAATATGGAACAGTAGTTAAGAATTGTTTGCTTGAAATATGAAAAATGTCTCGAGAGAAAGTGAGAGAAAGAGGAGCCTGTTCTTAATAAATATTTGCCTATAATTAAATTTCACATTATAGCTCCAAAATGACCCGCAGATGAAAATGATAGAATATACAATAATGTGCGCTTCTCTTGGTTCGTCTTTAATACTGCAAGATCTTTTCTTTTTTATTAGTGTGAATCTTTGATTCAAATACGTAATTGATCTTTGCTCGCTTGCCTTCTTCTTCCTTTGTGTTGATTTCAGTTTTAAGTCAGTGACGAATTCTTGACGATGAATTCGAAACGTGAAGTGAACTAAGTTATAAATAACCTAATAAAGAGGTAAATTTCAGCTACCCTGGTAGGGCATTTGATCCGGAAGAGAAGAAGAATGATTTTGACTTGGACTTTGATGATGATGATAATGTGGACTGCTACCGTCTTGTGACATTTCGTTGACTACTGGATCTTCGTATTTACCTCTTTTGAAACGTCCGTATAACGACGAATACGGTAAATTGTAGTGAATTGCGGCTTGGTTTATACTCATGTGTCCCAGCCTGGAATAAGAAATTATATTTTAATTTATTGTCCATATTATAGTCACAAATAGTAATTTTTAGTTAATTAAACTAGTAAATTTAGTGAATTAAATTAATTTAGTTAATTAAACTAGTAAATTTAGTGAATTAAATTAATTTGGGTAATTAAACTTGTAAGTTTAGTAAATTAAATTAATTTACTTAATTAAACTAGTAAATTTAGTAAATTAAAGTCTAGTAGTTAGTGAATTAAAAATTCAAAGTCTATTTTTACATTTGTAAACATTTGTAAACTATAGTTTACAAATGTTTACAAATGCAAAAATAGACTTTGAATTTTGTAAAAAACTGTTTTGAAAATTACCTAACAGCCTCAAGAGCCTCGGTCATCGCGTCCTCGCTCCACGGAGTGGGGTTACTCCTGCTGAGTTCAATTCCCTCTCGTTTGCACCGTCCGTAAAGAGTGCCGGTTGGAATTCCAAATTCTGTCGACGCTCTCTGCACTGACGTTTGACCGGATCTGATTGCCTCCAATGCCCTGTCGAGATCAGCCGGTGACCATGTTGTGGGGCTCGCATTGAAGGGTGCCGCGAGTCTGATACCTTCTCGCCTGGCAATTTTATACAAAGTACTAGAAGGTATTCCAAAAGCTTTCGATGCCTTATTTGCAGAAATTGTCCCAGTTCTTAAGGCTTCGAGGGCGTTATTCAGACTCTCGTCACTCCACGATTTTGTTGGTCCATCCTTCTTGGGAGTGTCGATTCCTAGGCGATGAGCTCTTTGCCAGAGAGTGGTCGAGGGTATGCCAAAGGTTGCTGTAAAGAGAAAGAACAAAGTGAATGAAAATCAAAATTGAGGGATTTTGAAACAAAAATGAAGTAAAAATCGGGAAAAAGAAGGTAAGAATAAGGAATTAAAAAAAAACATTAAAAGAAAGACTAAAAGATAAAATAAAAGAAAGAATTAAAGGAAGAATAAAAGAAAAAATTAAAGAAAGAATAAGAGAAAAAATTAAAGAAAGAATAAGAGAAAGACTAAAAAAAAGAATAAGAGAAAGACAAAAAGAAAGAATTAAAGGAAGAATAAGAGAAAGAATAAAAGCTAGAGAATAAAAGAAAAATAGAAAATAAGGCTTCGTACTCGATAATAATTTCAAAAAAGTGGCAAAAATTAGCTTTAAGACTGAAAAACGCAGTAAACAAGTAAACGACTCAATTTTTTCATAATTTCTAAATTAAAATACATAATAATTCTTTCAAAATTGAATCATTTTTTGTTGAAATTGTTAAATAAAATTATTCAAAACTTTAATGAATAAATTTCGAAATAAAAATTTAAATATAATTACAGTTGTACAACAATTCGAATTTTTAAAGAATTTAATATAAAAATCATTTGAAATTTAATTATTTATAAAAATTTACAAAAAAAAAATTATTATTATTAAAAATTATTTTTCTTTTTTATTTTTATTTATTTATTTAATTTCTAAAATTAAATTGTTAGGTATCAAAAATTTTTAACCAAAATTCATTTTGAAATAAATTTTTATTAGAAAGTTCTACGAGAATTCAATTATTTAAATACAAAAATAAATAATTTATTGAATAATGAAATATTTCTTAAAATTCGATTCTTATAAAGACCTTTATCAAAATTTAATAAATTGCATTGTTACAAAAATTAAAAAAAAAAATTCTTTTAAGAAATATAATTTAAAATGTATGGAAAATAATTACTATATTCTAATAAACAAAATATATTATTTACATTTTTTTAAAACAAGTGAATTTTTTCGAAGAATTTTAATAAAATTTTTAAAAATAATTGCATTTTCCGAGAAATTTATTTAAAATTGTAATAAAAATAATTGAATTCTTACAATTAATTTTAATAAAAATTTTAAGAATAATTGCATTTTTTAAGGAATTCGGCTAAAATTGATTAAAAATAATTGAATTCTTGCGAAGAATGGAATTAAAATTTTAAAAAATAATTGGATTCCTTCCAAGAATTTTATTATTTACAAAAATAATTGAATTGTTTAACCAAATTGTATAAATTTTTTTAAAAATAATTGAATTCTCAATAATATTAACATTTATAAAAATAATTGATTTCAATTAACGAATTTTATAAAAAATTTTAAAAATAATTGTATTTCAAAAAAGAATTTTATTAATTATTAAAATAATTCAATTCTTAATTCTTTAATTCTTACAATGAATTTTAATAAAAATTTTAAAAATTGATTTTTTCCAGAAATTTATTTAAAATAATTTAAATCTTGTGAAAATTTTTTTTTTTATGAAAAAATAATTAAAATATTACTAAAAATGTGGTAATTAAATTTTTGAAAATAAAATTCTTCTGTAGAATTTTATTTAAATTTTTAAAAATAATTGAAATCATGAGATGAATTTTATTATTTATAACAATAATTAAATTATTGCGAAGAAATTTATCAAAAATTTGTAAATTATAGAATTTCTTTGAAATTTTTAAATAATTGAATTCTTTTGACAAATTTTATTAAAATAGTAGATATTGAAAATCATTGAATGGAGGAAAATTTTTGAAAATAATTGAATTCCTGCAAAAGTTGTATTATTTATGGAAACAGTTAAATTTTTGCAAAGAATTTTATAAAAAAAAATTTTTTCACAATTGAATTATTTTGTGAAATTTTTCATTAAAATATTAGGTATTAAAAATAATTGAATTTCGACAAATTTTTTTGCAAATAATTGAATCATTTGAAAGAAATTTTTTAAAATCTGTTGAATTGTTTCTAAGAATTCTATTAAAATTTTTAAAGGATAATTTCTTTATTCCAACTATTTTAACGAGTTTAAATTTAAAGTTGTGCAAATTCTCAAAAAGAAAAGAAAAAAGCAACTTTTAGTGTGACAAATATAAATATAGATAAATATAAATAAATATAAATACATATGAATAAATATAAAAAATATAAATAAATAAAGATAAATAAAAGAAATAAAAAAAAAAATCTAAAAAAGGTATCCAAGTAGTAACAAACTGTAAAAAAAAGTAGTAAACAGTAAATTTTAGTAGACGAGTACGAAACCTGGAAAATATACGAAGTAGACAACAAAATATTATGAATAATCCATTTACCGGATGCCTTTGTCAGACTCATGTCATGATTCCTCAAAGCATCAAGAGCCGCATCCATATCTTCCTGCGTCCATGATTTCGATCCATGATGATGAGATCCCGATTGACCCGAATGACCTCTAGAATTATTCTCCCCAGAATCCGAATGGACGGAGTTTCCAGAAGGCATAAGACCAAGGAGTTCGGGTGTTATCATCATCATATTATCGTTGTCGCCCGCATTTTTCGAACTCACACTCGCTCTGTCTGACATATGACTGTCGATGTCTATTGTGTCCGACGAATCCATTGTGTGTAAGGTCTCGAATTTTATCTTCACACTGTCGCAATTTTGGATCTCTGCTTAAAAACAGAAAAAAATTTTTCAGTCATTATTTTTATTACTGCAAAAATTATTATTTTATTATTTAATTTCTTCAAAAAAAAAAAAACGAGCAAAAAAATCAATCAGAACTGAAAACAAAATTCAGGTCTCGCAAATTTTTCGATTATTTTTTCTACTAAACAAAGGGAAAATTGGGTCACTAATAAAAAATTGTTAACACCGCATTCACTACCTGGACTCTCAAGACCAATGAAAAGCTCCGGTAAACACTAATTTCTATTGCTTGCAGATGCTAAATGAGGCTGCGTGGGCAGAGGAACGAACAGAGTAGCGCAAATCTAATCACAAGTAGTTAAGCCCGATTAGGCCAATTATTTTGATTCCCTCCCGGACTAATGAGTTACTGACTGCTCTCTTTTTTCCTCTATTGTTTGCTCAGTTCCGAACAATTTTTTCCGATAAAAAAAAACAAAATAATAATAACAAAAAATTTAAAAATTGACAAAATATCTACCTGCTGATTGATGGTCTGAATCCCTGAGATGTGTGATTGTTGTACCGACGAGGGTTGCACTAGGTGGTGTTGGCTGTGTCTCCGGAGGTAAATCCACTTCACCAGGATCTGGATGATGTCCGTAATGACCTAAACCTGTGTGACAGAACATGTCACCTTTTATTAAAAGTGTAAACATTCGGCTCATATCTAATATTAATTTTTATTTCGCCCCACATCTGGAACTTGTTTGCCAAATATTTTCTCAATAATAAATAAAAATAAATCTTCACCATAATCAATCTAACAATCTATAATTATAAATATTTATAAAAAATGAGTATTTATGACAAATTAATATTTATAACTTCTATAAATATTTGTAACAAATGAATATTTATAACTTCTATAAATATTTGTAACAAATGAATATTTATAACTTCTATAAATATTTGTAACAAATGAATATTTATAACTTCTATAAATATTTGTAACAAATGAATATTTATAACTTCTATAAATGTTTGTAACAAAAGAATATTTATAACTTCTATAAATATTTGTAACAAATAAATATTTAGAACAAATATTTATAATTAAAATAAATATTAATTTATCTTTTTAAAAAGAAAACAAAAAAACAAATTTTTTGAATAAAAAATTACCCTGAAATGTTTCCAAAGAATTTGATGACAATGAATTTTCAACATTTGTAAAATATGTATTTGTACTCGTTGATTCATATTTAATATTTTGCTTGTTGTTAACACGGGGTTCATATTTGAAATCTAATTTTGTTAATTCACGATAATTTTCAAATTCCTCGAGTTCTTCTTTTAATTGAATATTATCATTTTTCACGAGTGTGGGATAACTTTCTAAAGAACTGGATGATAGAGAATTATCGATTTGCGATTCATGAAAGTCATTGTCCACATATTTAAATTCTTGCTCAACATCTGATCGTGGTTCATATTTGAAATCTAATTTTGTCAATTCCCGATAATTATCAAATTCCTCAAGTTCTTCTTTCATTATTTTTTCACGCTTTACCAATGTGAATGGCCTATTAATATTTGTCATACCGAAAAATGAATTTGTCTCTTGAAGTTGAAGTGTTATATGATCATAGTCTTCGTTGAAGAGAAATGAATTATTTTCAAATGAATTATCTAATGAACAAAATTTTCTCTTTCCACTTCGACTACGTTGAATTTTTGAATCTTCCTTCAATGCAGTTTCCGATGTTAATAAATCCTTATAGGTGTTAATCATTGTCGTTCATTGATTTTATTTACATTCTTATAAAAATTAATTTTTAAAAAAATTTATTTTTTATTTATTTTATTTTATATAGATTTTTTTTAGTTTTTAAAATTGATTGGATACACTCCTTTATTGTCGGCACGAAACAAATACTTCATAACCTTACTTTTTATGGAAAATTTCTCCCTTTTTACTTGAAAATGGTATAAAATTGCATTTTATAAAAATTTCGTTTTGTTCTTTTATTTCGCGCAACACAAATTGAACACGTTTAATATTCTTTTCCTGTCTTTAGGCTTCGGATTGAAAACAAAATTCATGGAGGCTGCTCGCGTACTCCATTTGCATTTTTCGGCATTTATTTGTCTTCAAGGTTGTTCGTTACAATTGTTAAGTTCACCATTAAACGGACGCGTATTTCTTTTTTCTTCAACAATTAACTAATTTCCACTTGTTGTACTCATTTTTTGTTAGAATAATAATCATGTTGTTGATGCCCGCGTCAAGCGAAGCAAACGGAGGAAAACTAACCTAAAGTTACGCTCTCCTCGAGCAAAAAAAACCAACCTAACGCGAAACGAGATGCGCGGATCAGTGTTGCCAATTTTCTAAAGTTTCGGATTATAAATTTAAAAATTGCAGAAAATTCAATTTTTACTTTTTTTAAACGAAAAAAAAAACATTTCCAATGGGAAATTTTTTCTAAACCTTTATATATTTAAGAACTTTTAGTAATTTTTTACATTTTTTGCGAATATTTAAATTAATGGGAAAAAGAGTTTAAAATTTGCATTTTGCAATAAATAATAATTCTAACAACAGGGTTGCCACAAAAAATTAAATTTTGTTCTTCCCTGACTTTTCCCTGAATTCCTTTAATTGAAAAATTATTCGAAAACATCAATAACTTCATTTTTGAATAAATATTTAATTATTATTTTTCCATATAGGAATTAAAATTCTTCAAAAGATTCAAATTCAAACCTTTTTAAAATTAAAAACTTATAAAAATATTTTATTGTAAAACATGAAGAAATCGATAACTCCGAGTCTTCGACTCGGAGTTATCAATTTCTTTATATTTTATAATAATTAAAAATGACTGTTTTTTCTATTTTAAAAAAAAATTTATTTCTACAATTGTTAGAGTTAAAAGTGTGAAAAATTCAAATTTTCAAAGATTTTAATTTGAAACCTTTTGAAAATTCAATTATTTCTATAAAAATTCACGCTGCATTATTTTTAATATTCAATTATTATCTAAAACTTTAACTGAAATTCAATTTTAAATCAATTTTTATTACAAAATTCTAAAATAAAATGAAAATTCAATTATTTAAATACAAAAATAAATAATTTATTGAATAATTGAATATTTCTTAAAATTCAATTCTTATAAAGACCTTTATTAATATTTATGAAAATAATTGCATTGTTACAAAGAATTTCAATACAATTTTTGAAAATTATTAAATTCCTTCAAGAAATATAATTGAAAATGTATTGAAAATAATTATTAAACTCTAATAAACAAACTAAATTAACATTTTTTTAAATAATTGAAATCTTTTGAAGAATTTTTAATAAAATTTTTTTAAAATATTTGCATTTTTCGGAGACTTTATTTCAAATTTTACTTATTAAAAATAATTCATTTCTAGAAATAAATTTTAATAACAATTATAAGAATAATTGCATTTTTCGAGGAATTCATTTAGAATTGCAGTAAAAATAATTGAAATCATGCGATGAGTTTTGTTATTTATTAAAATAATTAAATTTTTGTAATGAATTTTAATAAAAATATTAAAAATTGCAGCTTTTGAGGAATTCTTTTAAAATTGTATTAAAAAAATTGAAATATGATGAGTTTAATTATTTATGAAAATAATTGCATTCTTGCAAGAAATTTTATTAAAATTTTTAAGAATAAATAAATTCCTAAGAATTTTACTGTTTATAAAAAAAATTGAATTCATGAGAAAATTGCAATTAAAATTTTTTATAATAATTGAATTGCTCAAAAGAATTTTATTATTTATAAAAATAATTCAATTTTTACCGCACGAATTTTAATAAAATTTTTACGAATAATTGCATTTTTTGAGTAATTTATTTAAAATTGCTTTAAAAATAATTAAATTCCTTCGTCGAATTTTATTATTTATGAAAATAATTGAATTTTTTCGTAGAATTTTATTTCAATTTTAAAGAATAATTGCATTTTTCGAAGAAGTAATTTAATTTTTTATTCTAAGTAATTGAAACAGAGTGTTATTATTATAAAATTATAATAATTGCAAGAAGTGAATTATTTTCATAAATAATAAATCGATTATTTGGTAATTCATTTTTACATAAATTTTTTTCAAAAAATACTACGTGAATTTAATTATTTAAATACAAAAATAAATAATTTATTGAATAATTATTGAATGTTTTACAAAATGGAATTCTTATAAAAAATTTTATCAACAAATTTACAAATAATTGAATTCTTTCGACGAATTTCAATAAAGTTTTTAAGAAAATAATTCCATTTTTTGAGAAATTCGATTAAAATTGCATTAAAAATAATTGAAATTTTGCAATGAGTTTTATTATTTATGAAAATAATTGAATTTCTGTATAAAAACTTATTATTTATAACGATAATTAAAGTAAAGCGAAGAAATTTATCCAAAAATTTGTAAATAATAAAATTTCTTTGAAATTTTTTAAATAATTGAATTCTTTTGACAAATTTTATTAAAATAGTAGATATTGAAAATCATTAAATTGAGGAAAATTTTCTAAAAAAATTTCCTTGATTTTCCTGACCAATTCCACTTTCTCTGACTTTTCCTTGAATTTCATAACCTGGTGTCAACCCTGTACAATTATTTTTTTTCAATAATCACCATATTTTTTTTCTAGGAATTTTTCTATTTTATTTATTTTTTATTTTTTTAGCTTTTATATTTGTCAATAAAAAAAAACTTGTACTTACCTTAGTTATATACATTTTCTCTTGTTATTAAATACTAAGTGTGTTTTATTTTTCTTATATTAATTTTTTACAATAAATTATTATAAAATTACGCAAAAAAAAAATAAAGAAAATTTAAGGGTTTTGTTAATATCATTAAAACTGGAAAATATAAATTAATAATTAAGAACCGAAATAATTTGTTAATTGCTGACATTGAAAATCTGTCGTTTAAAGCCCAGAGCAGAATAAAAACGGAAACGGGTCGCATAAATAACACAGAAGATATTTTTGTCTTTTTCTATTACATATTTTTATTCTGCTTTGGGCTTTAATCTTAATAGTGAATGGCTCACACTTTTCAGAACTTTGATAAAACAAAAAAAAAAACGAAATAAGTTGAATTGAAAATAAAAAAGACAATATTTTCGGTTGCTGAGTATATAAGAAAGTGATTTTTAAGGGAAAGTGTATATCGAAATATAAGACTTGTTTTGATTTTGACATAGTAAAAAAAAAGTATGAAAATAAAAAAAAAGTATGAATTATGAAAAAGAAGTTTCCAGTTGTGGGGCGCAAATAACCTGGATGATCGACTTACCGTTGTTGTTGTTTGTAGTACTGTTACCGTTGTTATTGTCGCGTTGGCAGGATTCCAGGACTACTGCTGATGCAACCTCCGCACACTCCTCATCTTCGGTCTGCCAACAGTCCCTGTGATTCTGCGGGAACATCCGGTCCAAATTTAGCTTTCGAGTCTAAAGTGAGGAGCCGTTTTGCCACCGTTATATGTCGGTGTAACGACTGAATTCTGTCTACTTTTCCCTTCTCTATAGCTATCGTTACTTTTCTAACACCCAATTTCTTTTTATCCCTCTCTCTCTCTTTCTCTCTTTTTTTTAAATATTTTTTTTTCCCTCTTATTTTACATCTCTCATGATATTTTTATTTATTTATATCGAAAAAAATCTACTCTCTAAATCTGAATTAATCACTTTTGATTATAATTAGAGCCAAAATTTTGTTTATTAAATTATATTTAATAAACGAACGAATTTTCACTCTTTTGAATTTTTGAATTTATCTCATTTTTAATTAGGTTCAAAATTTATTTTTCCAAACTTTAAACAGAAAATATAAAAATTTTTTCAATATTTTCTTATTAAAATAATACTTTTTAAACAGAAATTTTTAATTTTAATTATAATTTCCAATTCAATCATTTGAAACTTCAACTTTTCTGGTTATTTATTTATAGGGGAATGTAGTCAAGGTTGGCCTACTGTCTAGGTAGGCCACTCGCGTTTTTTTGTCAAGTTCACTAGCGCCACCTACGCGCATTTTTGTCGAAGCTTGTCTTAGTGAAACCTAACTTTTTGTTCAATTACATTTTCGGAAAATCGAAAATTGTGTTTTCTGTGACGTCGGTACAAAAAAAGCTCAAAAAAAGTTTTGTGCATAATGTGAAAAACCATTAATAAAAGATAAAAAACAAATTGAATCGTCAAGGCAAGTATGCAGAAAATTTGTGGGACTCATGGTTGAAAGGAAAACAAAGTAAAAAATCGAATCCCGAAACGTATTTCTTTTTGTTTACAACAATTCGGTAATGTTACTTACTGTCAAGGTCGGCCACTATGTGTTTAAAATGCACAAAGTTGAGGACGAGCTACTTCATTTGCAAAAACTGCAATTCTGTATAACTCATAATATAATTGATCATCTTATTAATATTTTTATTTAATTTTATTAATATTTTAGTGCAAAACTTTTTTTTATTTATATTTATTTTTTTATATTGTTTATTGTTATTATTTTGTTATTTCATTAAGTTACAAACTGTAAACAATAAAGAATCAATTTTCCGTAACTCCAAACATGTTATTTTATTTTTTAACGATTAATGCCCTTTGAATTTTAAACATGGCCGACCTTGACTGTAATGGCCAACCTGGACTACAAATTTTTTTTTTTTAAAATCTTTATAACTTTTTCATTTTTAAACCTGTCAATTTACTTTGTACAGAAAAAATGTTCCTATTAAACAGGACTTTCCAACCATATACTTCAATTGTCCAAATTCATTTTTAAAAAAAAGTTATAAACAAAAGTCAAAAAGGTGGCCGACCTAGACTATGTTCCCCTATTTATTAATATTTTAGGAACAATTTTAAAAAATTTGATAAATTATTATTTTAAACATAATTTGAAACTAGACATTTGTGAATTGTAAATTTTTGTAAAATTTTTATACTTTTTTATTCATAAAAATCATATATTAAGACAAAAATTTTTTTACTTAATAATTTAAATAAATAATTTATTATTTTAATAAAAATGACAAATAACGTTTTTTTGACAAGTAGTTCAATTATTAAATTCTCACGAAAAATTTAATTAGAATTGCATTCAAAATATAGTATTGAATTTATTTTATTTTCAATTCGATTCAAAATTCATTTCATTTGAATTTCAATTTTTCCAAACATTAAACAAATTTTTATTCTTCATTATAATTTCCAATTCAATTGTTTGCAGCTTCAATTTTTTTTTGTCATTCATTTATATTTATATTTTAGGAA